CTGAGATGCCAGTTCTAACCCAGGAGGAAGAATCTTGAATTGAGCTGATGAAATTGAAAGCATGCTACTGGATTTATTACTGAAATTGTTGATTATGCTAATTCACAGTTTTGTAAGATCTCTAAGCAGTCATGAAGTCCTCTTTCTCCTTTACAGGATAAAAAAAAGCAACCCTCTGTTAGCAATTATATTCATTTGATAACTGTAGGAGAAGAAGAAAACGCAGCAAGAGGAGCAAACAGTGCATTGAACTCTTACCTATGCGGTCTCTGGCATAACATCAGCTCAGGCTCTAAAAGCTGAATGCTCTGCACTCTGCATCTATAGTAGGGAAAGTCGCGTAGCTGCAGCCCAGCACTTGCACGTAAATAGCTGCAATTATAGGCTATTTAGATGTTGTTTAGAACTGATGTAGTCAATGACCCATGAGCATGCCTGGGAGCAGCGCTCCCTTGGCAGACTGAACACAGGGCTTGGGAGGCGGCATGTGCTGTCACTCCCTGCCCGCTGTCACTTTGGCCAGTAAGCAGGCACAAAGGGCACAAAGGACGAAAGTGTCTGCGCAGCATATCTAAGCCAGCTGCAAAGTTATCCTTTAGGAGCAGAGTGACTTTAGTCACGTACCATCAGTAACCATAGCTCATGGCTCTTCTGTTTCCATTGTGCATCATCTTCATAATCACCCGCCTGACTTTGATTGTTTCTACCTCTGCCCTGTTAAAGGTGTTGAAATGAAGGAAACTAAGGCTTTGTAACCAATTAGCTATGAAGGTGCTCAGTGTAGCAAGAGAAGAAAGGAATCCTCCTTGAGTATGCTGAATGATTTTCCCAATATTCATTAGAAAGTCTTCATCAATTATTGTTGATTGGGTTCACTGCAATAATTGAAGAGCACCTGCAATGCAGGGCAAAATCTGTCAGCAGTTTGACTGTTGATGCTAAGGGGATACAGATGTCTGTCTCTGTTGTTCCTACGGTGCCATGTGGCTTTCGCAGTACTTCGCAGCCAGCTGGAGAACATGGGCACCCACTCCAAGGCATGGGACTCCCAGTTAAACACGTAACTCCGTGAGAGGTGACACCAAACCGAGGGCAGAGACAGAGAAAAGAAAATTCTGCAAATAAGGAGGGGGAGAAGACTTTTCTGGAGGGAAATAAATTGTTATTTGCAGTGGTACAGCTTACATATGGATCACCACAGGTGACATCACTGTGGCAACTGAGCAGGAGAGACTGCACTGGAGAGGTTTCCGACAGGAACAATTTTCTTCAGGCATCTGTTTAGAGTCATCATCATGGCATGACGGGAGTGAGTGGCTGTACTGACATGCACAGACTGCTCGGTGAGCACGGATTAATGCAGACAAATATCCTGATTCCATGAGCATGTGGCAGACTGTTTGTGCACAGTGTGAGACAGCGAGTAACTGCCCAGCTTCTCCATTTGGAGAAACCCATAAGGCTGATTTGGATACGGCCTTGGGCAGCCTGATCTAGAGCCTGATTTAGTGGTTGGCAGCCCTGCCCACAGCAAGGAGTTGGAAATGGATTATTTTTGAGGTCACTTCCTACCCAAGCCGTTCTATGATTCCAAGCAGGAGCTGCTGCTCCACCACCCTTTCAGTTCAGTTAGGCTAACCTCATGAAGACCGCTGGCTTCAGCAGTCGCACCCGGCTGAGAGGACACTGGAACTGAAGAGATCAACAGTACAGAGGATCTGGCACAAGGTCAGAGCAGCCACTGGGCCTTTCATGAGGAGAAGCTAATGAGATGGAGGCAGAGCAAATATAGATCTGGTTGGCTTCTCTAATTAAAACATCTCTGTATTGTTTTCCCTGGATTTTGGCATTCTTTCCCCAAAACAAAAACAGAGTGTTTTGCTGGAACATGATTTGAGAAAAGCACTTAATGTAATCTCTTATTTGGGAGAGTAATCATATCACAGTAGCAAATAAACAATATAAATATAATCTGTGTGACGTGAGTTCTGCTGTGAGAGCTAATGCCGAAAGCCTCTCTGAACTGAAAATGAATATTCTATTATATAGCCTTTGTGCCTGCAGGTATCCACTTTCATTTAAAAGAATATTAGTACTGATCTAGTGTAAATGATCAGTGGTTTCTTGGATCACATAAAGGCGCTGTTAGCAACCCACATCTCCCAAAGAACAGAGAGCAGGGGAGGGAGGGCTATGGGAAATCCCCAGTTCTGTTTGGAGTTGCAGACTGCCACAGTGCACAGCATTCCTATCACACTCAATCTTTACAACAGTGTGGCTAATTTTCCGTCATCACGAGGTTTGATGCAGACATGCTAGTGTGGGCCTGGCTTAGTTTCTCTTTCCATCAGTAACATTTTGTTTAATTTCCTCTTTATTGACAAGTTTTGTTTCCATGATGGGTTGGTATTCATAGAATGGCTTGGTTTGGAAGAGAGCTCAAAGCCAACACACCCCAACCCCTACCATGGGCAGGGCTGCCCCCCACCAGCTCAGACTGCCCAGGGTCCCATCCAACCTGGCCTTGAGTGCCTCCAGGGATGGGGCACCACAGCTTCTCTTTGCCAGTGCCTCATCGCCCTCTCAGTGAAATTACTGTGTTCTTTCTCTTAAGTGGTTACATGTAAATACCTTGTGTTTGAAGGGGCTAAGTATGTGGGAAGCCAGCTCAGACTCTTCTATGTTGAAAATATAGTTTTTTCCATCACCTTGGTGAGTTTAAGAGATGAGCGACTTCCTGTCATTTACTGTCAAGGTGAAAATCATCCCCTTAGTCACATCTTCACTTTTTCCCAATAGCAATTTAGAAAGGTCAGCTTAAATTTGCATAGTGTCCTCCTGACGTCCCAGTGAGTGGGATGACTGAAGTAGACAAGCGTCAATATGAGTGCGTGGGCAGGTCAAAGTGTGCAGGTAGAGGTTGTGTGCTTTATTGGATCAGCTGGCATTGCTGGAAATGTGAGACAAATTTTCTGACATGCAAGCCCTTCCTCAGGTCTGAAATAGAAGCAGCAATTTGCAAAGCTAAATACAAGCTGAGAACAAATGCTCAGATGTTAATTAGATATGTATCAATTAGCCCTTTGTTTAAAGAAAAGATATTCCATAATAGAAAAAAAAATAAGGATGGTAAAAAGAGAGGAAAGAGAGAGACAAAGGAAGTTTAAAAAGTTAAACAAAGCTACTTATCACACAGGGGGAAAACAGACAGCTAGTTCATAGCCTGGGGAACAAGAGTGGTTCATGGTGAGTAGGCGGAGAGATTAATCATGACAGTCACATCTACTGAGAGCATGCACCTCCGTATCAGGGGCTTTATGAATTCCTGGTCTCGGCCTGTTCTTTAGCAGAGGTTTTTTGGAGTCTGATCTGGTAAAGAGTACTAAGATGCAAAGGTGTTCCCGTATTGGCAGCTGGGGTTCTCTTCCAGTTACAGGCTGACCATATGGGACCATTCAGGAGCACATAGATTGCTTAATTTTATTTGTATAGCTACTATGAGGCCACTGGATTAATTTTACTATGTTTTGGAGAATACAGATGTGGGGTTTTGAGAAATTCTGGGAGGGAGAATTAGGGTGCGGGCCTACTTTGGATGGACAGGGGAATAAGATTCCTGCAACACTTCCAGGGGACCATGCTCTGGTTTCAGAGGAGCTTCTGCTGAGGAATCTTGTCGGAAGCTGTGTCCTTCCTGCCTCATGGAGGATACTTTTGAAGAAAGACATATTGAGGCTGTTTGACTGGTAAGCAATGAGTACCCTCCTCTGCCATTAGGAATGCCCACACACTAGATTGAAAGTGGTCTACTGTAGGTTAGTAACAGCTATACTACCAAGCAAATATCAAAAATAGCAATTCTATTCAATTTGATCAGTATGAAACCAAATGTTTAGCCAACACTGTGAGTACCCTTTGCTAAGAGCATATCTGTTGATTCTGCTCAGCCCACATGAGGTGCTTTTTTGTTAGAAAAAGAAAGCTTCACATGGAGTCAGTGTTATTTTTAGATGGCCTTCTCTTCAGGTAGCCTGAGTTCTCTCTGAAATATAAAACTGTATAGGCACAACTTTAGGAAACCTTCTTGTAGAATGAAGTACTGGATATCTCCAGTGTATTTTTTCCCACATACACATGTATGGAATTCCAATCAGAACACTATGTAAGAGAACATGGAACGGTTGTATATAATCAAACAGCACAGTCTGTAAGCAATAAAGAAAAAAATAAGATACTTCTAGATTACTAAAATGTCCCCCAAGTCATAATTATAAATCAACACGCAAGTGTACAAAAGATTGGTGTCTCCATAAACTGTCTGAAATTCAATATTTTTATCCTACTCTGTCTTCTGAAAGTGCCTGCATATTTTATTTTCCCTGAGTGCTAAAAATTGTCTCTATTTTATGCATTGTTTTTTGCAGAGCTCTATTTGCAAACATAACTAACAGCTAGTACTGGAGATGATATACAGGCTGTATAACATGCCTGAAGAAAACAAATCTGTAAGCATACAAATGCACCCCACTATAAATTTCAGGGACACTATAAGAATTTTAACCTGATGGTAATTCTGCAAAAAATAAACCACAGCCACATGGGATGCATTCTTGTAGCTGTCAGGAAGGAAAATTGCTCCAGACTCTGGTTACCAGGCATGTTTCCATGGATGTGGCACATTTTTGTGCAAAAAGCCCTTTGCTCACTCTGGTCATAGGCTTGTGCAGTCAGTGCAGGAAATTTGGCCCAACCACAGCCTAACAATCAACTCGGGTAGCACTGCTGGTATCATCTGAGGATCCTCAAGCACCGGATAGCGCCATGTGAGTCTCCATGAGGTCTCCCTCTTTTGGCTCCTGTCCTCATCCTCAACACAAACACTTTTTTTTTTTTTTTTTAATTAATGTGGAAGGATACAGATTAAATGTAGAAAACGTTTTCCTTGGCTCAAGGACAGTGATACCAAATAATAACAACGCTAAGCTTGAGAGCAAGGGTTCTGAGATAAACAACACAGTACAGTTTAATTCATTTTCAAAATGCATTCTGATTAATACACATTTTCTGCAAGGAAACAAATGCTTCCCAACCAGTTTTCATTTTTGTACTGCAAGGTTACTCTTCTCATGAGAGTAGACTTGCTAACCATGCATGTGCTCAGAAAGCCAAAGGTCCATGGCTTTTACCCAAAGGCACAGGCTGATGTTACCCTCAGCCTATCTGTTTTGTGCAGTGTCATTTCTGTAATAAAGTGGATTTTTATTGGTTTTCAGGTTGCATTGAGCTGCATTATCAACTAGGAGATGTCAGCAGTACCAATACTCATACCAGAATAATGCAGATCTCTCTCCCAATGCATGGTTATTCAAAGAATAAATGCAGATATTCCACAAATACTTATATTTTCACAAATTATATTTTCTCTGTATAACACTATAGTTATTTACATCTTTTTGCTACAATTCCATTCAAAGAGAATGCATTTCAAAGCTCCTCCTTCAACCAGACAAGACAGAAAGAGTGGAGGCGGCCAGAATCTGAAAGAGCTATGTATACAATTACATATGGCAGAAGATGAATTAGTCCCAGAACTTGTTCTGACAGACTGACTGGAAATATGACCAGCAATGCAAAATCTGTCACAATTTAATGAGATCCTAAATGCTAAACAAACAAAACAATATTTTTTTTTCCTGAGATCAAGTTTCAAATTTCTTATTTTCATTGCACTGATTAACACTGAAAGTACTTCTGTGCAACAGCTTCTTTACTCAAAGATCACCTGCAAAGGTTCATGCAGAAAATTAACATGCAAAACACTGAATACTGAAACACTGAAGTTCAGAATGCTTTGAGTGGGTAAAAAGACAAGTGCAATGGAAAAAGTTTGCCTTTGTATAAAAATAAAATTGCTTAAGCATTTCTTTTATGAAATACAGAATTTCACAAAAATCACTCCAGTTAGAAAGTGTACTTTTTAGATTGAGAAGGCATACGTAAGGTCCTTCTGCAGGACCTGATCCATTGGATGGGTTGCTCAGCTAAAATGCGTTTCTCCTGGTCATTATCAACTTTATCCACAATGGAACAACAGGATGAACACCATCAGCCATCCTTTACTGTGATCCACATCATTTAGCTGTCAAACTCAGTCCCAAGTAGATCAGAGACATTAAGCACTGAAGCAGCAGCTTTTAAAAATCAGTCATTTTATCCACATTTTTCAGCTTAAGATTTTTGCTTTCTGTCAAAACTCCCCTTGATTTTATTACAGAACATAAATTGAAAAGTACTATGATCTTGAGATAATCAGCTGTATTTTTTTTTTTTTAAATGCAGTAGATATTGCATTAACCAGTATGACTATTAACCAGTTCCTCTGAACTACTTAATCACCAGCAGTCACTCAAGGGTCCTCAGGAGGTTCTGCCACCACCCACCGCAAAGCATTATGCCAAAATTAAATTCCAGTCCTTCACCTCGCCATGGATAGTTGGACATTTCTGGCTGGTAGGAGTTCTGTTGATTTTCTTGAAATCGAAACGATACATTCTTGTTCTTTTAGATTCTCATCATACTTGCTGCCTCTGAATTTAAGGTAGTCATTTGCATCCATTATTTTGCTGAGCTGTCAAATACTACAATGTATTGTAAAGGTTGCAATTTTATTTCATAACAAGAGAAATAAACAAAAACAATAATAACTTGTAGCTTAAATTGAGAGAACTGGTGGTGACTTTTCCCTGTGGCAGGAAGCATGAAATGCAACTCAGGTTAAGAATTTTCAGAAGTCCATCCTAAACATGTGTCACATTTCTAATTTTCTTTGGGTTGATTGGATAATCGGTATGTCTTTGAGGTCGTCCCTAGAGCAGAATAAAAAGCAGTTAGAGAACTAAAAGTCTTAGAAAAGCAGTCACTCAAGGGTCCTCAGGAGGTTACCTGCCACCACCCACCGCAAAGCATTATGCCAAAATTAAATCCATCATCAGCAACCCACTCAAAATCTAATTACAAAGAACAGAAGGAACAGCCTAATATGCAATGCACTATTGGCATTACTGGGAATTTGTTAATTGGTCTTATGCTATCTGAGAAGTTCTTGTGTATTCTGCATTCTGTATTCTTTTAAGCAGAAGATGGTGTTTTCTTAAAGAAAATACCCCATAAGTTGTAATAAATGCTTAACTTCTGATATTGTTTTCCTAGTACACTGAAAATTGCACCAAGAAGCATGCTAGTCGTTCACGTGTCAGAAATGCCATTCTCAACATCTTCATGTTTATTCCAGGTTGGCCTTTTTTTTAAGTTCCCATGACTGGCACAATTCCACTCCCACTGACACCAGCGTGTTTCCAAACTGACCCCAGTGGGATGAGTGCAAGGCAAGCGCTTGGCAGATTTGAAAACCTTGTCATCATTTGAAACTGGTGCTGTGGATTTGCAGTCCTAATTACTTATGTACTTTTATGAATATCATTGCAGAGGAAAATAATAAAATTTATTCTTAAATGCATTCAAGAAATGTGTGCTATGAATATTTAAATGTGGTAGTGCGATCTCACACAGGCAATTATAAAGTACTTCTAAGGAGTGAAAATGACTTACAAAGTTGTTAACCTTTATCTTTAGATACCTTCCCAAAAGAAGCAATACAATTAAATAATTTGCTGGGCCTAGCTCTGATGTTGGTTTGGTTTTCCTCCAAGAAGATGCAATCTACTGGCTACTGTTCCTTGCAATGTCCCCAGCTGGTGCAGGCATTAATGGAAATTCCACTGTTCTTCTCAATGAAAATTTTTATTAACCCTAAGTTTTTTTCCAGCTATTGACTGAATTTCGTATACTTTTTTCTCAAACACTAATCAGGCACAGCTTGTATTGCTTTGGTATTCTTCCAGTACTAAGTATCTTGAATAATGAATTTGGTACCTATATATTATTAAAAAAGCCACAGAGGAAAATGTTAGATAACAAATGTGGACAGCGTTTTTCTGGCATTTAATGAGACCAAGTACCTCAAGGAAAACCATGGGATAAATATAACTACCCTAGAAACATTTCATAGGACAGCTGCCTTCTATTTGAAACACAACACTATTCACCCCCTTTCCCTCCTCTTTATCTGTTGCTAGAGCATACTGCTATTTCCCAAATTTACCCTTCTTTGCTTTGTTTATTTCAGAAGACAGGAGTGGTGCTCTGGGAACTATCTGCCAGGATTCTCATATTTTTCACATCCCTGAACCTCACATCCCTTAAGCTGTTGGTGGGAACTGGGGTGCAAACTGCTCACCACTGTGAGGGTGGAGCAAGTCCAAGACTGGCTCATGAGACTGGTAAGTTTATGGCACCAGATGACATGCATCCCATGGTCCTGAAGGAACTGGCTGATGTGGTTGCCTAGCTGCTCTCCATCACATTTGAAAAGTCTTGACTGCTGGGAGAAGTCCTCAGTGATGGAAAAAAGGGAAACCACTGCCATTTGTATGAAAGGGAGGAAGGAGAAGCCGAGGCACTACTGGTCGGTGAGCCTCATCTCTGCTGCCTGGAAAGATCATGGAACAGATCCTTCTGGAAGACACGCTAAAGCAGTGAAGGATGAGCAGGTGATCCAAGACAGCCAGCATGACTTCACCAAGGGAAGATGGTCCCTGACCAATTTGGCGGCCTACTAAGATGGAGTGATGGCATCTATATCATCTATAACTATAACTATAGATATAGTTATATATATTAGTTATATACTATAACTAATATCATCTACCTGGACTTCTGCAAGGCCATTGACATGGTCATTCACCACATCCTTGTCTCTAAATTGGAGAGGGACGGATTTGAACGGTAGACTATTCAGTGGATAAGGAACTGTTGGAAGGTCATAGCCAGAGGATTGAGGGTTGCCTGTCTCTTCTCAGACTTTTTTCAGAATTTCTCTACTGCTATTAATTTCTTGCAGATCTGCAATAGCCCAAAGACATTGCTCATTCATTTCCAGAGCACATAAGAAGTTTCTTCTGGACTGTGCTGCCCAGGAGATTAATATGTGATTAAATTTGCTCCATTTGTGGCAGAACACTTATTTGGTAAAAATAAAATAAAACATGGTGATAATGGGCTGATGGTTGGACTTGACGATCTTAGTGTTTTTTCTAACCATTATGTTTCTATGATTAATCAGAAAGCTCACTAGGTAATGCTACCAAAAGAAGCAATATTCATGGCCATACTACAGAAGATCTTGGTTTGCATCTGCTTTTGAACAGGAAGGAGCCAGAGGACTCACGCCAGCTGGATCTAAACTGCACTATTCTTCCCTAACACCACTGGGGAAAATGCAGCCCCTGCATGCCTCTTTTGCCCTAAAAATTTTACCTGCAAGAATGTGTCACACAACCCCTGCCTCATAATGCTATTTCTCCTCTCTAGCAAAGTAGAAACCAAGGACTAAGTTTACTTCTGGAGTGGGTACTGTGGCCATGATTGACCAGGTCCCCCTCTGCCCTTCTGCATCTTTCATAGCTGTTTGCTTTACAGCAAATTCCCTGAGTATCCTATATTTTATTCTCACTATGCTCTGATATCAATTAAGAATAATTTTCTGAATTTCAATAAATTCATGCTGTGTACTGGCCCATTTTCTATGAAGCCTTCTCTGAAGCAGCATTGCCTCATGGAGGTTGCAGTAAGCTGTATATAACTTCACTGACACTGAGGCTACTGGTTCACTGACCTGAACTTCATTTTCTGATGATGCAGAAGGTCTCAAATGCAACACATTACAAATACAAAATGCAGAGACTAGTATCACAATAGTCATTTCATATTTAAACTCTGATATGCTACAGTTGCTAGAGCATCTACTTGATTTCGATTTCAAAGTTGTTTCTTCTTCAGACTAATGCAGTGCTCTACTAATCCCGTCAGCACTAATCCAAAAAAAAAAAAAAAAAAAAAAAGCTTCATTATTCATTACATCCTACATGTTCAAGAAAAAAACATCGTTCTAGTGGTTTGCTACTCAGCCCCATGTTACAGGAGCAAGTCTCTAACACTGATTCTCAGTCAGAACAGAACATCATCAGCATTTCCTTTATATAGTTTGGAGACTCTATACTCTCAGCTGGGTGTCTAGCTAATGATGGACGTTTGACAGTCACACATTTCAAAACCTGTATGCTGACTGCCTATCTGCCTTGGATACATTTTTACAGAGATTACTGTAAAGGCAGTATTATACTGGGAAAAGGGTTGCATAGCTTGTTGGTTTGACTGAGGAAACAGATTCCCAGATCTTTTCACCTCTTTCAGCTCCTCAACCAAACAAAAAGAGCCAGCAATATGCAGATGAATCAGAAGGCAAAATGAGTGTGTGTACCAGCTGATTTCAGGATTGAATCTTTGAGTGGTGTTTTGGACAACAATGCTCAGTCAATGAAGGAAGGACTTCTGCTATTGCAAGCATGTTGTAGTCAGTTCTGCAACCCATATGACATCAGTGATATGAATGATGAACTCACATCTGGCATTATGAAACAGAGGCTCCGATCTCTAAATTGATTTGACGGATGGCAGCTCCTCCGATACTGACACTGTAGAAATGCGTGACAAGCTGAAGGCTTTGCCTGCTATTAGCTAGCCAAAAAAATCCAAGTCAAACTGCATTAGAACAAATTGCTGAAATTAGTGTAGTAGGAGTACTTCCAAATGTATCTGCATGCATCACACGTTCTGCTGCTAGAACAAAAAAACATGGAGGCACAGTTCTCTGTTTCTTGAGGTTATTTCTCCCCCTTCCCTCAGTTTTTAATTCTCTTTCCAAACTCACTTCATTTACAGGAAAACACCCACCCAAAAACTATGGATACCCTCACAATATTTCAGATAAAGCATTGCTTCAAATAGCAAAGCAGTTCCATCTTGTCAACTTTTAGTACACTCAGCACAGTTCCCTGTCCATCAACAGACACACAATCTGGCAATTCCTTCTTATTTCTTTTTGTATTAATCCCACCCACGTAACTTCACTCCTTTCCTTCTTTCACAGACACTTGGAAAAAATATACTTTAATCTATAAGCTGCACCTGCCTTTCTGCATCTGTATCATCAATATTTATTAGTCTCTTAATCAAGACATGCTGCCCAATGAATATCATAACATGACATACTCTATAGTATGTTTCATCAGTAAGGGAAAAATTATTTGCTGTCATTCGTTTATATTTCTACTTTATTGGCCTTTTAATTTGATTTTGATAGTTTAATTTTTCTTCTGAAACAATCCACAGAGTCAGAGTGGTTATATACGGAGCAATAAATGTAGCTACAATCCATCACTCATTTCCTCTCTGGTATAAAACCACAACCACAACCAAATAATATTTCCAGTTTATAAAGTATCATTTGGAGTAGTTACGGAGAAAAATAGATCTGTCTCCATTAACAGCGGTGACTCACTCTGGACTGGAGAGGAAGAGTGTGGCTGTGGTGGTAAATCCAAGCCTTGCATGGCTCTGCTGAAGTTAGCTGAATTATACCAGAGATGAATCTGTCTCACTATAAATGAGCGCTCCTTTTTACAAGATGGTCTTCTGATTTATCATAGAGACATTTATGCCATATTAAATGGACTAATTATGAAGCTTGTATAGGAGGTTCTCTGGTCCTGCAAGATGGTCCTTAGATTTCTTTTTCTAGCAGTAGGATTCGCAAAAATGTAGTTCCTCAGAAATGGCCCTATGCCTGTGCTAAAGCACAAGTGTCCATGGTATTACTGCAAAATATGCTGGAGCCAGGTTAAGGGATCTCCCTCACTGAACCTGGGTTTCAGAAGGAGCTCTGCATAATGAGTCGGGGCACGTGAAACAGCTCTCTGGGCACTTGGTCTGCAGATCAGCCCTCTTGGGACTAGGAGCAAGGATTGCTCTCCTGCCATTGCTGACGGTGACAAAATACGCAATTAAACAGAAGCCTGTAACTCTACTCTCCATTTGACCTTTTCCTGGCTAATGTAATCAGAATGGAGACCTTCCAGCACCTCTTGACTTATACTCCTGGCCTTCTCTTCCAGTAGCTGGTAATTTTTTCTTCAGCTCAATAATTTAGTTCAATATTCATCATTTTTTAAATGTCTTGCACATCTTTTTTTCCTTCCCTTCTTCTTCACTATTATTTTTCCGTAGGATGACTTGCCAGAACTTTTGTTCATGTTGCGAATTTATCAGTGCAATTACTGGACAACATTTATCTTCCATGAATATTTTGCTTTAGTATCTGATTCAGTGAGTTTGAACAGAGAATAGCTGATCTAAGTGAATTTTTCTTGTCACCTTTTACTGTGACACCCAGCATATTTCAAGCTCTGTACCAGGTTGGGTCAATGGGCAAGGACTTCTGAGGCATTTCTGATAGAAGTGCTCCCTTAATCTCTCAATCATTTAAAATAGTACCTTTTTACATATGGAATAGAAGGTACCAAATTTGAAGCTGATGCCCTCAGAGACCCAGGAAGACTTCCTAATGCCTCCAGCCCATGGAGGCATTAGGTGAAGCTTATATAATCAAAGTTTCCATCTTGTTTTCTCCTGGCAGTGAGGGAAATGCGCCATGCAGCAGGTATGTTCACCTCTGCCCATTCAAAATACTAGGTTGAATAACCTTCATTCACTATGATTGCTCTGCTTTCCATTTTGTCCCCACATCCATGAGCTTCTTTCTAATTTTAAAACTCTCCATTCATAATTTTCCCATTTGGTCTTATTTTCTGACCTTATTAATGGGGTTAATCCTGATCACATAAGGTGTCAAGGAAGACAGCCACAAAAATCTTAATTTTTTTTTATTTCATAAAGAGGGAGAGATGAGGCCTTAGGTTCTCAGTCTCCATGACTCCTTCCATCAACAGCTGGTTCCTGTGTTTTCTCCCCACCTTGCTCTGGAAGAGAACCTGGTTTCTTTACCACCACATACATGTTTGCTCCTTTTTCCTAATTACCTAGACAGTGAGGCGACTTGCAGAGTCCATCTCTTTATGATCTCCTTGACTGTGGAAAAAATTTTCTGGATAACTACTTTTCCTTCTACTGCTCCCTGGCTCTATTTCTCATTCAAAAATAAAGAAAAACATAAAGATGAAAAGAAGAAAAACCTTTGGGAATGTTCCAGAATCCATATAGGGAACTGAAAAACGCAGCTAATCAGCAGTTAAATGGCTTGCCATCTGGTTTCTTCCACTTGACAAGGATTGTATTATAAGGAAAGAGCACCACAGCATTTATTATGCAACACATTGGCTACAGTGGTGATTGAATTTTGTTAATGCATCCAGTAACTCAACTCTGTCAGAAAATCTCTACTTTGCAGTTAACAGGGAAGGTTATGTATGTAAAAGAAGAAAAAAAGAAAACTTTATTTTGTCTAGGAAATGTTTCACTATGTTTGTATATAGTCACATAAACCTAAATCATGGACTGCAAATCCACAATTTAAGGTAAACTTTCATCAAGCGATATTTGCTTTATCAACTCCTGTATACACAAGATGGTGCCACCACTATATACTGAGAAGCTCTGCTCAAGCTGAGAAGCAATTTGTCTTCACAAGCCAGTTTCAGACCGCTAAACATTCCTCCAACATATTAAAAAATATATTTTCATAATATAATTTTCATCTGTAGATTCTCTCTTGATATTTTTCAAAGTATACATGCAATTACTGATGCAAGTAGAAGCCACCTAAGCAGACTTATACCATGTACTGTCCAGGTACAAGTGGTTAAACAAAAACTGTATGCTAAGTCCCTCTGATGGATTTTGATGTTTCCCTAGCCACTGAGCTGCAAAGGATCTCCAAGACTATCTAATCTAGCATCTGACATGGAGGCCTGTATCTATGTTTGTATTTCAGTTTTGTGTTTCAATTCTCAGCTGTTTTGTACGTGCTTTTCAGCTTTGCATTAATAATATTTTGCTTAACAAGTAATTAATGTCAAACATGATAGCTACCAGCCACAGACACATCATTATCATTCCTATTTTTACCGTTATTATTTTGATCATTGTTTTAATCATGGCTTTGAGTACTTCCTAAATTTCATTGTGTGTTGCAAGAACTAAACATATTCTGCTATGATTTATATACAGTGTCACCTCAAGACAGATTTCTGCATTGCACATGTTGAAACATATCTTCAAAAATAAATGAGTTATCACTGTGTTGAATCGTGAACTTGGTATCACATCACTGCTACATTCACAAGAGAACACTGGCAAAAAAAATATCACAAAGATGTAAAATCTTTTACAAATCTAGAGCATAAATTGTGATTCATGTTGCTGAGAGCCCAACACTATGCTTCACAATAGTGGCAGCTGAGAACTGAAGTGAAGGACACACTAAACTCTCTTTTATTTATGCTTTTAGCAATGTGGAAAGGGGACTACACATGAGAGTGGATCAAATGTTAGTTCTTTGCTTCCCCTTCCAGCGTTCACTGCTGAGATACCAAAGGCATCTAAAATGGTTGCGAAGCTCTTGACTGAAGAAAATTCTGCAGTATGGAAATGCAATTGGAAAATCAATCATGAAATTATCTAGAGAAAAAGCACCAGTGTTATCACAGAATTGTTTGGGTTCGAAGGGACCTCAAAGATCATCTAGTTCCAACATCCCTGCCACAGACAGGGAGGATTGCCAGCCACTAAATCATGCTGCTCAGAGCCCATCCTTGAACATCTCTAAGGAATGAGCTTCCACAACTTCTCTGGGCAGTCAGTTCCAGTGCCTCACTGCCCTCTCAGTTAAAAAGCTGCACTGGATTTTGTTTACAAAGGAACATCAAGCCTCGCGTTCATCTGTGCCTCCATTTCATATCCACACTTCCTCAGGTCTGGCAACTGGGAAAAAAAAAACTGCAGGCGTCTACTTTTGTGACAGCACATGTCTAACAACTGTGCAGCATCTTTATACATCCAGAAACAGAAAACATCTTTGCATTATAATGGGTTAACATACTGTATATGTAGAGGTTAATTCTGAAGAGCTGAGCCAGAGCTTTTCTGCCTGGCACATCTGAAAGATTTAATTAGTGGTATAAACGGGCTCTTGAGAGAGGAAGCGACTTTTTGATCTTGGGAATGATGAGAAGACAATTATCTTTTCCTGTGGCAAGTTCACCCTACTCAGGGTTACCCACTGTGCTGGGAGAAAGGCCTTGCTGGTGTTTGGAAGAAGAAAAATATGAGAAGCAAAGCAAAGCGAAAAGCAGACATCTGAGGAGGAGCAGACTGCAACTCTAACTCTAGCATGGGAGGTGGGAAGAAAAACATGGCAGGGATCTGAACTGAAAAGATGGCAACTAAAGCTTTTAATTTTTTATTAGAAATTTCTTCCAAATATCAGGGGTGTCTGTTTCTTCTGCACCTCCCAATCCCCAGTAAATCTATCTAAATGCAAGACTAACACCAGAGGCATGTATGGTTATAAGCAAGAGTCATGAATGTTTAAGGGATCTTTCTACTTATCTAATTAAAATTTTAATTGACTTTTAAACATCTACTTCCACCCAAAATCTATGTTTGCGTACAGTACAATGCCCACTGTGTGAAAAAAATAAAATATAAAAAAAATCAAGATACCAGCATAACAATTACCTTTGGTGCAGAGCTGGTACGTAAATCTGGACGAGGGACAGTGAACTTTGTAGACATTGGAGGAAGAGAAACAACTGCTATAATAAAAACATACAAGATTACTGTTATCAACATCCATCATGGTATAAACCACCAACAGCAGAATCAGTTTGACTAGTTTTGATTTAATTTTCCTTTTATTTACTTATCTTGTAACTTCTGCATTTAACAATACCACATGCTCTTGAAATCTTTCCACTGTACTTATTTCTTCATAATGTATTTGTTAGAGAGACAAGGGTGTATGCCTGGGTTATAGACTCTACATGATAATTTTGTCATTAAATGTCCGATTAAATGTTTTGATAATTATGTGGTTCTAAATGCAAATGCTGGGTAAAGATTTGGTGGAGTTTTATTTTTGATTTTGAAAAGACTTTGTGCTTAAGGACTAGAATTTACAATGCCTCAGTCATCTACCAGTAGAATCATAATTCACTAGCATATTTTTACTAATGAAGTCAGCAATGTGAGGAAAAGGACAGTAAAGGATGGTTGCTCAACCGTGCTTTCTTATGGAAAATATGGAGTTTAAAAACTGGACTTTTTCCAACCTCTGTTCCTCTAGCTGTTGTTGTTCTACCCTGTCACTGCTCTGCAATCACTGTGCAGTAACCATTTTAAAGAGGCCACACACTAATAAAATTTGTAAGAGCCATCGCTGTGAAATGTAACTCTAAGTCTGCTTTCTTAGGGACATGAATAAGATTATAAGTTCATGTTCACGGTGACTGTGCATCTGTACCCATGCCAGTAACTCAGTAGCATTTGAACTTATTGGGTGGTCTCAAGATGTTTGTCATATTCAAGGACTTTTATGTCAACAGGTGAGACTGGAAGTCAGGCTTCATTGTCTCTCTTTTTCATGGAATTACTTGGGATGAAGACTCCTTAGGAAAAGACTGGGAGGAAAGATGAATGTAAAGACCTCCATTCTCTATCACATGGAAAACCTGCAGGAGACAGCCTGTAAGGATACTCAAAAACTAATGGATACATTTTCTCTCATCCATGGCTGTATAATCCCCCAGAACTATGTGAACACCGAGAGCATATTGAGGATATTGGTATGCTATCCTGAAATATCATTACCAAAGGGAATATTTTTAACTACAATGTTACATAAATTGGTATTGCAATAATTTATTGAATGAATAAAAATATGGCCATTGTTCAGCTACATAGATAACAAAAAAGATATGGACAAAAAACCTTTAAAAACAAAAACAAAAGCCCCAAGCCTATAGATGAATTAAAACCTTCAAAGGATCAGCTTTACTTAGAAATGCAGCACAAGTCCTAGAAGTAACTGAAGAAAAAGAACATCAAAACCATGTCATGTCTGCTGTGTTCCCTGTGAATTTTTTTTATTTCTCTCGTCTTTATTTTGTTTTTATTCTGTTTTGTTTTTCTTTCAAATGTGCAAAGTATTGTTTACATTGATTATTACATAATCACACAATTACAGAATCACAGAGGTTAGAAGGGACCTCTGGAGATCACCTAGTCCAACCCCACTGCTCAAGTAGGTTCCCTAGGTTAGTGTCCATGCAGGTACAGGATATCTCCAGAGCAGGAGACTCCACAACCTTTCTGGGCAGCCTTTTCCTGTGCTCTGTCACTCTCAAAGTAAACAAGTTTTTCCTCATGTTCGTGTGGAACTTTCTATGTTCCAGTTTGTACCTGTTGCCCCTTGTGTGGTTGGATGCCACTGGAAAGTGTCTGCCCCCATCAACTTGATTCCTGCACTTCAGATATTTATAAGCAACGATAAGATCCTTTCTCAGCCTTCTCTTCTCCAAACTGAACAGCCCAGCATCTCCTCATACAGGAGACACTCCAGATCTCTCATCATCTCTGTCACTCTTCGCTAGACTCTCTAGGAAATCTCTCTCTCAGTTGAACTGTGGAATCAAGAACTGGACACAGTACTCCAGATGTGGCCTCCCCAGGGCAGAGTAGAGAGGGAGGACCACCACCCTCAACCTGCTGGCCATTTTTTTAATGCACCCCAGAATTCAGTTATCCTTCTTGGCCACTGCACACTGCTGGCTCATGGCCAACCTGTTGCCCACTAGGACACTCAGGTTCTTCTCCTCATAGCTCATTCCCCCTGATCTGTTCCCGATGCATGTGGTGTATGACTTCCCAGGTGCAGGCCCCTATACTTGCTCATGCTGAAGTTCATCACGTTCCTCTCTGTCCAGCTCTCCAGTCTGTCTTGGTCTTGCTGAATGGCAGTACAGCCTTCCAGCATACCAACCACTCCTTCCTGCTTTGTATCATCAGCAAACTCGCTGAGGGTGAACTCAACCCCTTTGTCCACATCACTGATGATGATATTGAACAAGACCAGACTTAGTACCAACCCCTGGGAAGCACTGCTAGTTACAGACCTCCATTAGACTCTGTGCCTGTAATCACAACACTCTAGCTCTGCCACTCAGCTAGTTCTCAGTCCCCCTCAATAACCACTCATGTGTCTCACAAATCCTTAACGAAGTGCTGTGAAGTCTTGTAATTTAATTGCATGACTTGTTGCCAAAATGCCTTTGTTGAGAGGCATAAGCAATTCACTCACTTGGGATTTGTCTTGTGTAACGTGGTTCCTCTGGAATGTATCCCTGATTTTCACTACCTCTCCTTTGTCTGTTTCCCAAATGGTCATCTGTTTTCTTCTTAATTGAAATTTTCCTAGGGAAAAAACAAACAAACAAACAAGAACATCACTGGAACTTCATTATAAGAACTCTTGGATAGAAGGCAGAGAAAATATTTTATGCTCTACTTCTGAAAACTATACTTGCAAAATATAGCTGGGGCTTCCAGTTATTCAACTATTGCAAATCTCATCCTATGTAAATATTACCTGTGAAGTTCTGTTTAAAGCAAGAGCAAAAATAAGCTGAGTGATCTTCATAGGCAGTGAAGACTCTTTTACACCACAGAAAATTAATTTTGATCTCTAATCTGGAATTACAGAGTAGTCAGTGGCACAATAAGGGAATACCAGCTGGGTCACCTATAGCAACTGACCATTTTTTGATTGAACTATTGCAAAAAGAAAGCATGTTAGTTCACATCAATGCAGTTCGTTCCCAAGTGATTCATCTGTACACTACAAAGCTAATTTACTGTGTGCATGCACACAGTCACAGTGAAGATGATAGAACTTCCTTTGTTAAAGTTACACATCTGTGAACTTGCAGAATGATGATCTGCATGGCAATGTGGGGAGGAAGAAGAGAATTTCTACTCAAAGCTTACATTAGAAGTTCCACATGCTACTATTCATTTGTTCCAACCATAGGTTCCTCTCTGGGATAGTCCCAGGTCTATCTTTGTTTTTGGCATGACAAGCATAAATTGGTAATGGGACTGTAATAATCCAGGGATTTGTATAGAAAAGGGGAAATACTCTCAACAGCATTTGTGGAAACTGCTCCCTCTAGTTTTTTATGTTCAATTAGGATAAATAACTTCACAGATGCGTAGAGCTTCAGATGAATGTTATTGAGGTACACCTGATGAGCCAGATACGACTACATGGCTTTTTCAGAGGATAAACCTGTTAAGTGCCTCTAAGAAGCTTGCCACGGTTGTTAGGGAGGAGCAATTGTTTAGTAATACCACTTTCATATGTTACATGATAGTCTTCATCTGATCTCTTATCTGATCTCTTTGTCTCAACAGATTGAGCTGTAGCCAAGTGAAAGGAATTACAGATGTGTGGGAGATACTGAAAGGTAAACAGCCAAGTTAAAAATAAACACTGGGGGAAGTGAAACAGCACATCTCTGCTCTGACTCCTTCTTTGTTAATACCCCAACATAGCTGCCAACATCTGGACAACTATCATTCTTTTTACTGCATGTAGGCTCCCCTCTAAGAAAAAAAAAAATAATCTGAAAGAGATTCTAAGAGGTTTGTATGAATTCAGTGGCACTGCTTGCACATACCAAAATTTTGCAGAACTGTCAGCACTGACTTTTCCTAACGAAGCTGATGAGCCTGATTCATCCCAGTGCTTAAGCATTTAACTAAGCTTTTGCTTAACTTTCAGACTGTAGGCAACTTTTAGGGAGCTGGAATGACAACTCATGCTTAAAGTTAAATGCAAAACTGGAGTTTTACTATTCTAAGATTATTTCACGAAGTGAAACTCCAGTTTTGCAATTAACTTGCACCAGATCAGATGCAAAGAAATAAGGAAAATTGAACGCTAAACCTCATTCTGGATCTGCTCAGGAAGGCAGCATGCAGACCCTCTAAGGGCACTGCCAGCAAGGTGGGGTTCTGGGAAGGACATTCACATGGCTGTACCATCCCCACACTAAGCAGAAACCTCTCTGAATGTATAACCAATTTTGTTGCAGCAGTGCTGATACCTGCAAAGGGCTTTTGGCAGAATCAAGTCAGAATCCAAGCAAAAATGTTTTCTAGTGTTTTATTCATACCAGAACTGTTATGCAGGTTGTGCTTCCTTTAGACCTCCTGTTCCCTACTGATGTAGTCCTGCACTATTTATATAGATAGACTTGGTAAAAATGATTAATTCAGTATCATAAACAAAGAAATCTCAAGGAAGTTTACCAGTACGGCATAATTAGCATCATTTCCTCAAGAGAGAAAACAGTGCTGTTTTTTGCTTTTAATTTCTCCATTTCTTTAAAAAAAAAAAAAAAAATGCCGACAGACCTTCACAAAAAATCAAGTGCTGATACTCACATATTTGGTTTTTTTTAGTTTTTTCTTTATGTTACTTTATAGTTTGGCACTAAGGAACCTCGACAGAGCCACGATTCGCTCCCCGCGGAGCCACGGGCTCGCAGTGACCTCCTGTGGAAGCGCTTGCAAACACCCAGCACCCGGAGGTTTCTCCTGTAAGTGAGCGTTTGATTTGCACCTTCCCCCTGCAGTGGGGCACGGAAACTGGCACATCCCTATGACCACACTGCAGAGGCCTGAAAGAGCCCGGTTAAAAGGAAAAAAATTATCCCGACGTGTTCATCTTACCTCACTTCATTTTCATATGTGGATCCTGAGAGGGGTAAAAAAAAAACAACGTTAAAATGCTGGGAAATAAAGTATGACCTGTAGAGAGCTGCCCTTAGGAGAATCTCTTCTCCTTATGTGCAGAACTGCAATATCCCTGCAGAGTGGCTCACACCATAAGAAAACTAGGAACTGCCAATATGCTTCAGCAAATAACCTTATTGTAGGAACTACACACAACTGAAGGTTAACATACTCCTGAAATGCCCTTCTGGGTAATGTGAAGGTTAATGTGTGTCACTGATGATACAGGTCACTCCAAAAGTAATGCTTCCTAGTTATTTCCATGGAAACTACAATAGATACAGAGCGTCAAGAGCATGCAAACACTCTTTGATAGAGCAAACTCTCAGCTACAAAACACTATTTGTCAACATAGCCACCACCATTAGCTCTGCTTTTGCCAGCAATGAACAAGAGTCTGCATGCATGCCTGTAAACATCTGCATCAGCAGTGGGGAGGCACTGCCACTGAAATGCACCCCCCACTGCCTCACTGTGCTCACAGCCACTGTTTGGTCTCCATTAACGTTCAACAAGCATTGAGGAATGTCAGTAGGTGTCATTTTTTCCACACAGATAAACTCAGTGACACACCTTGCTTCACACACACTTCTGTGTCAGACGCCCCCTCTGCTGCTGTCACCAGCAACAAAATCGAATGGAATACTGATAGGAACACTCAACCATCACTGCCATCCCACCAACATCAACCTCTGATGTTGTGGGCCAACATAATGAAACAGGAGGCATTGCTTTTGGAGCAGCCCTCATAGTTTGGAACAAGTTATAGGAGAAACAAGGGGAAGGTAAGGATCATCTCAACCAGGTCATGGTTAAGAGCATGATCACTCTGCTCACCCATCTGCTTACGCATCTCTGCACTCCATAAGTAGTTTATATCTAGTTTGTTTTGTTTTTTGTTTGTTTGTTTTTTAATGTATAGGCCAATTATGAAGTTCCACTTACCTTTCTTTAGGCAGCAACAGCGCACGACAACCCAAATAAGAATTATCAGAAGAATAAAACCAACAATTGAAAACACAACTGCTAGTGCAATAACCCACGTGCTTGTGCTGTCTTCACTGTAATTGCCGTCTGTTAAATTAAATGGATAAATTGTATTATCAGAGACTCAAAACATTGTTTTCATAATATTGACTTTTTCTGCGAGAAACTATTAACTGCTTATTGATTAGAATCATAAGCTCATAGAATCATTATGATTGGAAAGACCTCTAAGAATCACCCAGTCCAACCATCAGCCCACCCCACCTTGCCCACTGCCCACGTCCCTCAGTACCACATCCACATGGCTCTTGAACACTTCCAGGGAGATGGTAACTCCACCACCTCCCTGGGCAGCCTGTGCCTCACCAAGGTACTATCTAGCAAGGAAGCTGTGTTATCCAAGCCATGATCTCTGTATTTATGGGTTGTCTCCAAGAATTTAGAATGGTTCCAAAAGAAAATTCTTTATCACATTTGTAACTTCTCCAACAGCTATTCCTCTTTCTGAAATATACACATCTCTAATATTCCAAACAAAACTTTATTCTGTAGTTATGTTGAGTCCCCCATCATCCTTTGGAGATATTTGGGGTTAGGAGAAGGCATAAATATTCAATTCTGACAGGTATTAAACACCTTACCTAGCTGCACTTGTCAGTGTAGAGAAACGAGCTATTTTAGGCTACAACACATCTGGCCAAATGTGTATGTATCCCTCTGGATAAAATGATCTGTTCTGAAGAAGCTTCCATTTCTCACCACTGACCACAGTGACAGTTTTAGGTTTCTAGCACTGATGGAGATCTCCAGCCTGTTGATGAGATTTTACAATAAATCCCATCTTGGGATTTCCCCCACTAATTTCAGCAGGTGTTTAAATTTTCAACATACTTTGTAGCTCATCATTTATCCACTTAAAGTGCACTGAACACTTAAAAAGGTAAAGAGAAGCACAATTCAGAACACTGAAGCTACCAAACCATCTTTACTACTGGCATAACAATAAATTATTCATTTTTTTTCATTTTTTTCTTTCCTTTCTCTCTCTCTCTCTCTCTTTTTTTTGTTTTTATTTACTGTAACGCACAGTGATAGATGGGGTGATATCAGGATAATTCAATGTCTTAGGAAATGCATTCACAGCAACCAGTTCTACCAACAAAACTCCTACATCACAGTATGTTAAGAATACCTCGCATTCCTCACACAGCTGGATACACAAGGAAGCTGTCAGGTCTGACTGTCACATCACTGTACCATTTGGTTTTGACCAAACATGCTAGAAGCACCCCTAATTTGTGTACCCTTTGAAAAGCAGCCACCAAATTGCTTTGACAGTTGTTTAGAAACAAGCTTTTGATCCAAATGACACATGAGAAACATATCCAAACTTGACAGTGCCCCAGCAGATGGGGTTTACGATTGTCACTCCTCATTAGAAGTCCCAGTTAATAATCACATGGCCGTATGTAACTGATGGCATCTGGGAAAGATACCACAGCAATGCAGACTGCAGGCAACCATACAGTGTAATAGAGTTTCCCCAGATGTGTGACCCAAAGTATATGCTGCTTTACTTATGGCAAGAATAAAGAAACAAATGAATTCTATCTACAAATTTGCCTGGAGCACCTGGGTTGTTTTTTGTTGTTTTTTTTTTTTTTTTTTTGGCTTCAGATTGCACAGACACAGGACCAGAGTCTCCTACAAAGCTTGGGCCTTTGTTAGTCTGAATTCTCCAAATTTTGGGTAATAGAAGTCTGGAACAAATAGCTTGATGCACGATCAGCATGTTTTGAAATTCATCTGACAATTAGAGAAAACAAACATTGAGCAACCTGCAGACTAGTAGTTAAATCTGCAGACTGTAATCAATTGTGATTACAATTGGTGAGGAACTTGTTCACAATATTTCTGTCCAGAAATACTGCAAAAATGTATGTATTGTGCTCTGTTTTGTTTCATAAAGCAAGCCACAGGGATTTCAATATGACTAAAATATGAAAGACATAACTACTTAGCTATAGAGGCAAGAAACTGGAACTGAGACCAGCAGATACGAACACAAGGGCTGCCAGTTCAGTATGAAAGTAAGAGTAAATCCACATCAAATTACATTAGATGTACAGTGTGAAGAAAGCCACTTCCTCATTCCACAGGGCCCCATCCAAACTGGCTGCAAGCATCTCCAAGGATGGGACACCACAGCTTCTTTGGGCAGCTGTGCCAACACCTCACCACCCTCTGAGGAAAGAATTTCTTCCTAACATCTAAGCTTAAATCTCCCCCCCTTGTCATTTAAAGCCATTCTGCCTTGTCCTATTGCTGTTAGTCAGTCCCCCTCTTACTTATAAGCTCCCTTCAAGTACTCTTCTTAAAGCAGCCTTGTGTAAAGTACTTTAAGAAAAGGAATTTTCTCTGGCACATGCTGATGCCAAAGGAGAAACTAGAGACTGAACAAAGGTGGACATCACTTCTTGAACACTTCGGAATTTTCTGGCTAAGAAAAAACAAAGGAAGATCAGGCACCTGGCATATCCCCACTCTCCATTTCTGCAGTCCAAAGACCGCATGGAGTCAACACTAATGCCACAAAGAACTTGGGACCAGCTAAGGGACTTTGCCAAGAGCCTCATTTTCAAGAACAGCTTTGTGAATACATCTGTTGCAATAACTTTATAGAAATTCCCAAATCTGGAACTCAGCCAAATTTTGCTAGGAGTGAGGTACCCTATCAGGATGAGTAACTGATGGTGTCAATTTGTTAGCCATACGAAGAGTTTTGAGATGAGGAGTGATCTAGACATGTAGGAAGAATACTGGTGAGGTGATGGCTGGCTGAAGGGGGCTCAGAGGGCTTTGGGATGCCATTTTCATGAATAAACAAGTACTGCTCATCAAGAACTTGGAGGAATTAGATTCCTCAAGCTTTTAAGTGAAGGCTGAACTGTATAATACAAGAGCTTCATACACCTTAAGTCTTCTTATTCCTGACAATGTCTTATTCCTGACAAATAGCCAAGGTTGAGTCTGTTTATGAAAAACCAAACAAGGTTTGAAATTTCATGTGCGATGTACATTACATATCGTCCTCTGTCATAAATGTCAGGTCTATTTCATTCTAATAATCTGTAGACTTCATATGTTCAAATGCTGACAGATATTGAGTGCCTGATGCTGCAAAATAATTTTTCCAAAAAGCAATGAAAGATGGCCCTATACAATCACTAATTATACACTAATTGTGCTTCATGACATCTGTTTTTCTCGTCTTCTGATTTACAATGAGTAGCTATGGAAACCGAGGGTGTATACCTCAGTACTTCACAAACAAGTAGGCAAAGGAATTTATTGATTTCCTCAGGGTAGTTCTATTTTGCTTAGTCATTAGGAACAATCTGACTACAAAATAATCACATTAATAATGTTGAAATGAACTTTTTCAATTGCATTACAGAGCAAGTAATGATTCATACATTAAAGGCAAAATTACTCAACCTTTTCAGTTGTTTATATGTAAAAACTTCTATATTATACCCTTCATCAAAACTCTATGAGAATGTTTTGGGTATGGTATATTCACCTAGAATAATCAGTTCATCAAGAGAAGCTGTCAATGTGATCATAGAAGTTCATAGTGCTCACCACATCATGAAGAGAAACACAGATTTGAGGCCCTACTCTACACACAGAAGGCAGATGGGGTTACATAGACTCACTGTGAAGAAGAAAATACTCCAAATAACCCATGCATTTCCCATGGACTAAGACTAATAAAAGGGATGTCACTGTGTGGTGGATTGTGTCACTATCTCAGCAGTGTAGCTATATTGAATAACCCTGACTACCTGCCATGCTATTAGCTCCTCAGACTCAGCTTGTCTTGAGAGTCCTCTGCTCTATAGTTGAGAAGCTAGCCCAGTCCCTATACAGAAATGCTCCCAAGGACAATCTGCGATTGTCTCCCCATCTGCATTAAACTATTGCTAAATTGTAAAGAGATGCTGTGTCTTAGTTGTTCTTGCTGTGTTATGGAAAAGCATTTTACATAGGATTCCTCAAAATCGTGAATTTAGATCTTCAATGGGAATGTAACACTAACTTTGTTTCACATTGTCAGGGCAAATCAGACAAAACTTTTTTTATGAACGTCCTAATATTATGAGCACGTAAAATTCTGGAATACATTTTCAAGGGTCATCAATGAGGTCAAAGACGAACAGCATTACCAAAAAAATGCTGACAACATTAGCAACAATATTTAGGGTTATCAAATGTTTGCTAGTAGTTCTTGAAAGATTTGCTCAGCACTCATGCTTAGTTTAATATGCAACCTTGAATTTCCCTAAAGAAAAGTCAACTAAAAGCAACTGATGCACTGTTCCAAGAGTTTTACATATGTTGCTGTAGTGGAATTTTCATGTTCCTCTACAACGTGAAAGAGACCATAATAGGAGGAGGGCTACAGGCCCAATGACTCTTTGATCTAAGTGGACTTTGTGGTTCATTAGACTTGTACCAGTTCTTTCACAAAAGTGAAGTTTCCTGTACTTACATATCAGATGTAACTATCAAGTCCTAATTCTATCACCTTTGCATATCTAACAGTATTTTAGTTACAAATGAAAGCCTTTTCAAAGCAATACAAAATGTAAAGCACAGTTCTGAGAAAATAGAACAAAGTACAAAAAAGCATTCACTTACCTAGAGTAGAGTTGCCAACAATAACAGCTATGGTTGCATTCTGAGGGCTAGGGAGTGCTTCTATATCAGCTAAACACGTCAAAATCTCAGTATTCACTGGAGTCAAAGTCAGGACGCTCAGGGCGTTGTGGAGGCTGTTAGATCCTTGACTTTGCTGGGTAACATACCTCGACTTATCAACGAGAGAGTCATTTGTCATCCAGGTAATTTCTGGAGCTGGAGCCCATCCTATGGCTTCACAAACAACTTCAACTGTTGTGTTCTCTTTAACTATTAAGGTGCTGTTTTTCATGAGTAAAGATCCATTAACTGTAGGAGGGAAAAGAAGTTTTGTTCTTTCACAATATTTAGCCACATTGCCTTCTACCCAGTAGTTTTAAATCTTATTTTGTCGACCCAAATTAGCTATACGTTGAGACATGAATTTTAAAACAGATTATTAACACTGACATAAGATATTCATGATATAAAGAACCAGATGTTGCATCTAAATTGGCACATTGTTCAGTATGCTTAAAGCACTACTCTTAACTTTCAATATCTTTTCATTAAAAAACAGGAAATTACACTTTTTAGGCATTATTTTTCTAGCTGAAGGACAACACAATCAAATAAGAGAGTTTCTCCATAATCTTTAAGTATGGCTTTGGAAACCTTACCAAGAAACGTTTACAGACAGGTGAGATATTCCCATCACGTGAAGCAACTCTTAAATGGACAGTGTCTGATCATTAGATACTGCTTTATTGGCTGCATTCTGTAACTACTGATGCTTTGAAGAGAACAAAAAGATCTCATACTCAGGGACTTGATAATGCAGGAGCATTTTCTTCTTTGGAAATGGTAGTTTGTGACAGCCATCACATTAAAAGTATCACCTTGTGTCTCAAAGACTTTACTTCTGCACATCATTAAATCAAACTCAAAAAGTGGGCCACAGATTGATTCCTAAATCAGACAGCAGGAGAGAGTCCTAAAGATAGCAGAAGGCCCAGGTACAAAGAAAGAGAGGAGTAAAGGTAATCCATAATGTTTCTAGGCAAAAGATCCATTTTGACTGACTGCCAGTGGGCCTGGTACAGACTTCTGGCACTTAATGTAGTCCAATGAAGAATAAGAGATATAACAGGAAAAACAAGGGCAGTTCAAGCCTTTTTAATGGCACTTTGTGACTGAAACCTACTTTGACTAAAATTAACACAAGGTCCTCTGTGGAGACAAATTATAGTAAATGAGAGCACATACTCCTTCACAGGGTAATTTGCACAATCAATCAGAGGATTTCTTTAAACGTGAGATAATAAAATAGCTTTCTACTGGTGGCTATACACACCTTGTACAGAAAGAAAGGCAAAGCTGCTACCATCAAGCTTCTGGATGCTGCACTCAATTTTTCCAGAGTCATTTAGCTGGGTGTTGTGGACGATCAGCTCTGAGGTGAAACTTTGACTGTTGTTATAGCTATGAGAGGTGAAGCGATCTGATGTTTCAATAGGTCCGTGAGAATTTGTGACAGTGAGGACAGGATTTGCATTCAACAACCAAATGAGAATTGCCCATCCACTTGCCACTGTGCAATTAAACCGGGCTTCTGAACCAGCAAGGACTGTAGCATTAGTAGGGCCATCCAGAATAGAATAACAAAAGCTAAGACCTGGAAGGAAAAAGAAAACAACCTGTAAATATGAAAGTATTTCACAGTGACAGTGGTGAGGCACTGGAACAGGTTGTCCAGAGTCATGGTGGAAGCCTCATTCCTGGAAATATTCAAGATCAGGCTAGTCTATGCTCTGAGCAACCTGATCTAGCTATGGATATCTTGTTCATTACAGGGGAGTTGGACTAGATGGCCTTTAAAGGCCCCTTCCAACTCTAAGGATTCTATGATTTTATAATTATCACCAACAGAGACATCTGACTTGAAGTCAGCATTTGAAAGCTGAAAAACCACAGTCCTGGCTTACAAGGAGCACTAGGGTATTAAGCATTTTTGGGAAAAGCTGGTGACAATTCTGAGCTGGCATTTCCCTCCTCTCTGACAGTACCTGATGCTTTCAGATGTATTCTTACCTTGTTTTCTATAGCGTCTAGCAGTAGTAGACAACTTTTCCTTTGCAGAAGGAAAAGTTCCACTTTTAGATAGGAAAATACATGACATATCTAGATTTTAAATGAATAAAGGAGTGTGTATCTAGTTTTCTTTCCATAACTGAGATTGCCACTGATTTTTTGCATCTTTCCATATACCTTCCCCTATTCATCTACCTCTTCCCTTATTCCTCTTGCACCCCATACATTACCCACCATTTCAGGTTTTCTACTAACTAGAACTGCTTGACTTCATGAGTTTTTCTCCTTAGAAGTACCATGAAGCTTAGCTACTATTCTACAGAACCAAAAGCTCACTTCTAATTGTGGCATTTTGTTTTCTTGTCTTCGTCTACAGGCTGAGAATCTCATATTGCCCTCAGAGGAATCTGCCTGCAGCTGTTGCCCAGGCAGGTGGTAGATCTCCTGTGCAAGAGAAGGCAGAAGCACTTGCTTCTCCTAAGCAGAAAGTGAAGGACAAAGATAGAGAGCCTCTTTTCAATGCAGCAGCTGTGACTTTCATCCCAGAAATATTCAGTGGAAACAGACAAATCTTAAAATATTAATCAGGGGGAGAATATTGTATTTCCTGAGGGACAAATCTTCAAACATTAAGATACCCAGAAAATAATCTGGGTTGTTCTTAGGGAACAGGACTCAGTAGAATACTTCTGTGTAAAACTGGGAACCTGCTTCTCTGGGTCTTTGTTCTTGTGTGAATCCCTATGGGTTTTGGCGAGGTTCTGTTGTGATAGGTGGACAGTTGGACTGGATGATCTGTAGGTCTTTTCCAACTGTGATGATTCTATGATTCTCCAGAACATGCTATGTTCATGCGCAGTAGAAAAAAGGCAGAGCTACTACCCATGGCTTTCAAGGAGTAGATGACAAAATAGTCATCCAGTAATTCAGGTTGAAAGGGACCTCTGACAGTTCTCAGTCCAACCTCCGTCTCAAAGCAGGGTCATCTCCAAGGTTAGAACTTGTTGCTCACAGCTTTATCCAGTCAGATCTGGAGAAAAACCTCTAAAGATGACAGAGACCACGCAGTTTTTTTCAAGCAAACTGCTCCACTGCATGCAGGCTGCTCTAAGGTCCCCCACAGCTCTCTCTTCCCCAAGCTAAACAGGCCTTGCTCTGTCAGCTGCTTCTCAAAGTGCAAGTGCTCCATCCAGCCCATGACCACTTTAATGGCCTCCTACTGAACTCACTCAGGTTTAATTAATGTCTTTCTTGTAGAGCAGAACCCAAAATTTATACTGTCATTAGTTTTACTAAGGCACTGTCACTGCTTCAATAAGTTATTGACACCCACAGCCATGCTGTTTGCAGGTAAAGAGAAGTGGGGAAGGAAGAGTCACATTGCAGGCTCCACTATCACTAGGCATCACTTTTAAGGACTGAGATTCTACAAGCTCTCTGCAGTCCAGCCAGTGAGACATTCCTCAGTGCCAAGTTTTATCACTTTCTGCCAAACATTCATCCTGAGAAAGCAGCAGTATTGCCAGTGTTATCCTAATGATTCAAGCTGTAGCTCTGCATAATTACAGCATTTAGATGCTATGGTCCATAGCAGTGTAATTAAAACTCCATGTCTGCAAATTCAGCCTGAGTGTAAGTGTATAATTATTTTCCGGGAGACAGAAAATATGAAATGACTGCTACTCCAGTGCTAACTGTATTCAGGACAATGATGTAATTTTTACAGGTTTTGTTCAACTCAGGTTTGGTTCATTTTATGTAGTTTAATTATTAATGGGTTCATTTACAAATTACTGAAAAATTCATTTTTCATTTGGTCATTAGCTGGCATGAGAAGGGAAGTATATGCTGTATTGTTTCACATGAAAGGGAGGTTTAGTACTTGCATAAACCTTACAGGAGCCCTATCTCAGTTACAACTTCACAAGCAGAACCTCTGAGCAGGCTCTCCTGGCACATGGCCTGTAATCCCATTGTCCCTACATCAACACCATTTTTTAATTCCCAGCTCCCACTTAATCCCAGGTAGTTTATATCTACGCAGTTTTGTGCCAAGAATTGTTCTTTAACATAAATAGCTCCTCTCTTTCTTCAAACACACGCAGTGGGTGGACAGAGTACTTTCAGCCTTTGTTTTGCAGGTTTTTAACAACCTAGCTGGATCTTTGTGTGCTTGACACTGAGTTCTCTCATGTTTATAAAAAAACTTTACAGATATTTTCCACCTTCCTTATGTTACCTCTACCATTTTTCAGAGCATATCTGTGTATGAGCAAGAAAACATTAAATAAAAAGCGTCACTTCTACTGATAGCTAATAAAGCCAGATAAGATATGATAAAGCATATTTTTGTTCAACTTAGTAGAACAATTTTTCCAGTAACATTTCCTCAAAGTTTCAGTCTTGTAAAGGTGAACTGAAATGTTTAAAACAAGAAACACCTTGAAGACCAACTCAGCAATCCAATCTAAAGGCATGCCTTAATACATTGCTTTATAAATCATAGACTGGCCTGGGTTGAAAAAGACCTCAAAGATCATCTAGTTTCAACCCCCCTACTGTGTGTAGGGTCGCCAACCATCAGATCAGGCGGCCCAGAGCCACATCCAGCCTGGCCTTGAATGCTTCTCAGAGATGGCGCATCCACAACTTGTTCCAGTGCGTCACCACCCTCAGAGGGAAAAACTTCCTCCTAATATCTAGCCTAAACCTCCCATCTCAGTTTAAAACCATTCCCCCTTGTCTTATCACTATCCACCCATATAACATTTAACACAATAAAGTGACTAAAAGCTCTCTTGTCTCTCCTCTCTTTGTCACTTTCTGAATGTTAGAGATTGTCCATGTGTCTGTGGATGGTATTATTTACAGAGCTACAAGATTTCTAATGAACACGTACTGATGAAGTGCATTCCAGTGAGACCATTTGCCATATAGTATGTTCCTTTTCCCTGGTACTCAGCGTCCAAGTGCTGTGATTCCTGTTCAAACAGATATTGCTGACCTTGAGACGCTGTCCTGAGCCCAAACACGTTTGAATTATTTTTTTCCCCCTCATATTGTAACCAGCCTTGGCAATACTAGTCCTTTTACAGCTATAGTCTATAACACATGGATGTGTTGAGATTTCTGATTTTCACTGTGTGTGCATTTTTCCTAGCTGGCTTAGGCAGACAAAAACTTCTACCATGATGATGGACTCAGCTGACCGCAAGCTTCCTCAGAGTTAACACTAAAATTCATTTAGTTGCTCATGAAGGACTGCAGTACTTATTCATACTGTTCCTCTTAATGCTAACTCTCATCTGTGCATTTGTGTTTTATTTCTTAGCCTGTGCAAACACTTCTCTCTCTTAAGGAGCATAGTGGTTTGCCGCAGCTCTGAATAAATGATGTGACTTCCAGTACACTGATATGAGATCACGTCTGTGAGTATCACTACAGGCTTGAAATCTATTGCCAAATATGAATAATTGGTGATCATTTGCTCTAACAGTACAGGGTTAATATTGTTTTCATCTCATCAGGAGAATATAGTAGGTGTATATGGTAGGTATGTGTTATCCTTTGATTTATCTAACATAATCATGTTTTATTTGTCCACGGATATGGTGGAATCTACATCTTCTTCCACCAGCCAGGATCTGCTATGTAATAGATGCTCTTTTACTGATTTCTGAGATCTAGAAAAGAGGCCCAGAAGACTTGGATGGGGATTTTATGGTTGGCAGGAGAATCAAGGAATGGGAAATTGCTCGACCTTGCCTCCATTTGGACCTAAGGAGTTTTATAAGCCTTCTACCAGTTGCCAAAATATTTTTGGTGATTATAAACTCACCTCTTTATCTTTTTGCCTATTTCTTTTTTAATCTTGCAGTAGCACACAGGGTCCCAAATCAACAATTGGTTCCACTGTTCGACCCATATACAAACACTGATAAAGTCACTTCTGTAAGGTCAAAGAGGACATTCACAACAGAAACGGGAACAAAACTGAATTACCAGTGCTTTAAGCTGGTGCTCTTCATTCTTTTACTGGGCTTTGTTTCTTACACTAGTAAGAAAAAAACTGCTGGTTTCATTTACATAGCGCTTAAAAAATAACTTGCAGATGGTTGCTTTCAGCCAAATTAAAGCTTCAGGCGGGACTGCCATCACACTTTACAGGAAATATGTGTTCAGTGCTTAACAGCTGGTTTAACTTCTGCTTCCTCATATACAACCAGTAAGAAATCCCACACAGACAAGCGGCCTCACCAATGACTTCCTTCACTGAGGGAAGTGTCAGACTGCCTTCATGATGCTGCATTACCACTTGAGCTTTGAAGAGCAGAGCTGAGTTGGGACACCTCCTCTGGGTCACATTATTATGTGTTTATAAAGAAGTCACCAGTGGTGAAAGTCTCCTTTATGAGAAAACTATTCACAGTATTTCAGTTGCTGTCCTTCCCAGCAGCACACAAATGCACATGAACACCCTCAGGAACTCCTTATTCCCTCCCCTGTCACACAGTTTCTCTGTCACATCACCACGGGTTTTGAAGACACAGCATTGCCTCTTCAGTTCTCAGGGCCATAGCTGATACCTAGCAACTTCATTTTCCAAGGAACCACCTTTGCTTTTGTCCCTGGTATTTTTCCCTTCCCACCTGAACTAACTCTATAGAATTGCTTTGTCATTCTGAAGGTTTCAGCAGCATTTCAGGGCATTAAGATATGGTTACCTTTCTTCCTTCCCTCCCCTCCTCTACTGACTTGCTTTTTCCTCCTCGTGTAAATGATCTATTTAGACACAACACAACTAAAGACAGGATGGATTCATCCTTTTGCCGTAACTCTTTTTTTCCCCCCCCCATCATCACTATGATATTTCAAAAATATTCTCCTCCTCAGTGCTGTTACCAACCTCCCAAAACTCTGTATTTTATCCTTCAGTTTTTGTGCCATCTGTGTCCTTTCCTACTTTGCTATTTATTTTTCTACTCTTCTCCTTCCAGTTTGTTTAAAATTCCTTTTTCTTTCCTTCTTTAGTCCTGTGCTCATTGCACCTTGTTTTCTGCCTCCCTTACCTCACAGCTTTGCCCAGCTCTGCAATAAATGGTTTTGGATTTAGTAGGTTTTTCTTCAGAGCATCTCAACTTTATTTCACAAACCAGCAGCCATGTGTCTGAGCTTTTTGAAAACCAAATTAAGTTAGAGCTTCTCAAAGCCTGCAGAGAAGGACAAGCTGATTTTCTGATTTAATAATACTCTAAAATGCTTATATATGACATTTCAGTCAAGCAACACCAGTCTACAGGTACTCAGTGACATTTTTGCCACCCACACAAAGTCCTGCACATCCCCCAATTGCATTTTCTCATCTTTTGTCTGACACTATTTGAAAGAGGTCTATTGCAACCTCTTCTATCTCTGCTGCTGGACCTCTCCTCCTCCTGTACTGTGGCATAAGGGTTCCCAGGCTGGGAGCATCTCAGCAGCACATGCAACATACAGGCAGCAAGCTGGGATTCCACACTACGTCAGCCCTGCAGTGCAATTGCTGCCAAAAGGTGCACGGTGCCCACCCAGGGCAATACTCAAATTGCCATGCAGCTGTCTTGGTAGCCCATGTGCAGTGACACTTCTTCCAAGAATAGCACTTTTTTCTCTCCACAATACACTTTTTCTGCCCACTGTGGGCTGTGGCCCTTTGGCTGCATCACACAGTGATGCAATGCCTGCTGCCCCAACACAGCTTGAAGCAGGGGCAGTAAAACATCGCAATTGTGCTTGACTCAAAGCATCAGTGAAATAGACACCCACTAAAACTCACAAAACTCCTGTTCTGAATGTGAGAAGACAATACAAGAAAGAAAACAAGTAAAATTGAGGCTTCCTTACTATAACATCTCAGTGTCTCAAAATATGAGACTTGAGGACTGCCTAAACCAACAGTTGCGCATGCACCTGTATTATGTCTGCATATAGCTTTTTTTCCAGTCTATTTATAATTTGGTATCCCCCATGTGCAGTGGCCATGAGTTTTACTATTTGATGACATCCTGTCAAGAAAAGCACACACTTTGGTTTGATTTACATCCACTTTCTGATAGAACTAGTGGCCACAAGTAAAACTTACTAAAACTCTAATTAGCTATTCCACTCTTCACCTCCATATAAATACTCTAAAATGTCTTTACTATTTTTTTTTCCTACAGGCAGAAAAAAAAATGCCAGAATCTTCTTCTCATTCCTCATATCACCTCTGCCACAATTAATAACTCAGACATAGTTTGTCCTCTTTGAAATGGAAGGGATAGCTCAACATTCAGTATTTGAGACATAAGCCTTGTGTGGATTTATATAATGCCATCGCATTTCCCCAGTTGAAGACACTAAGTGATGAAATTCCCTCTCTTTCTCAGCAACTTATTCTCTTCCCAAAGATATCTACTCTTCATCTTCAGTTAAATGATGCTTAGCACTGAATATTTTCTGCTTTTTATTACTGATTCACTTGGCATCGTGACATTTTCTGGCAAACCTTCATAGTCTTTTCATGCCTTTGGCTATCCTAAGTAATTCCACACCACCTGCACAGTCTGCCACCTGACAGCTCACACTGCTCTTCATGAGTTGTTTAGCAGTTTGTTGAACACCACATATCCCTGTATAACCCTACTGGGAACAGCACTCTGCCCAATAAACTCACTGTGTTTTGCTGTATTGTGTTTCCTTTTATTGGTTATTAAGCCAATATACCTTCCTTCTCATCCCACTGCAGATCATCCTTTCAGTGCCTCTTAGAACCACAACTAAATGACAACAAACAAATCAGCATCATTTCTGATACCCAACTAGTCACCTCATTGTCATTTTTGTTAAGGTTCTGCCTTCTATTTGTATTCACTTTGAGAATCAGGTATGCAAAATGTAAATTGAAGGCAAACTAAAAAAGTCATAACTTATACATATTTCTGGAAGCAAAATAAGCTGTTATTGAGCACTTTGTGGCTACACCCTCAAGAGCACATCTGAATAGATGGGGGTAAGGATTAGGGTAAGGAGTAGATGCAGTGAAATGGGGAAATCCCTGCTCAGTGGCAGTGAGAGGGCAGCCTCCTCCCCACCCCTCAACTGCTTATCCTCCATACTGAAGACCACTCTAAGCTATTAGATCATTCAGATTTGAAATGAAAACTTATCAATTTTAAACACTTTGAATAATTCCCTTGTGGGATTTACTCTTCAGCCTGATATTGCTGGTAACTGCCATTTACATAACTTTAAAATTAACTCACACATTTTGTCCACAGTGGCTCATCGCCTAGTTTATGAACATGTCCTACCTGTGAGCGAGGCAGCTAAGATGAAAGGAAGTAAAACAAACTTCTGGAACCTCTCCATTGGAGCATTCTCTCCTGGTCCCTAAGGCAGGAAGCCACAGCAGCCACTGAATGCTTGAGAAGAAGCTGAAGGACAGAACTTACAGAGAAACTTGGTAATGAGTTGCTGCTTTGCGTCCTGTGATTAAGCGTAACCTTATGTAACCTGTAACGCAAACAAAGAGTGATGATTAAATAAGGCAAGGGTTGAAGGAAAAGCAGTACCCAGTCTTAGAACCACTGTCTGAAAAGAAGTAGCTGAGCTTTCAGTACAGAGACTTTTCTTCACCAGAGAAAACTTCCCCTCCAGACCTTGCATCCCTCAGACCATCTTGTCTATTGTAACACTACTGCTTTAGGACCGATTGGGTCAGGGAAGCCCTATCTGCACTATTAATCATGAGCGGCTGGGAAAAACAATTCTTTTAGCTGCCTGTAATCACATGCATATGGAGGGTGCCCTGCCTGTGCCACTAGCAGTGTCCTGGCCGAGTAATGAGTACTGTGCTCCATCACTTGCTTGACAGACAAAGCCTCACGTGAGGCCCTAACTGGTCTTTGGGGCTGCAGAGGAGCTGATTGGTATGTCAGGAACTGTTTTCCTCCAATAAACAGATAAGGACAGCCTTCAGGAGGGAAAATGGGAACACACCCCAGTGCATTGTTACATCCCCAAAAATGTTTCATTGTTTTTCCATGTACGTTAGCCCCAAATTGGGATTCCTATTCATAAGTTCACGGGTGCAGCCTAGCACCAGCATCACCACTGCAATCCTGCCCATCCCTAGCCACCTCACCCAGAGCCAGTTTGGGGAAATACCAAACCTCCTCCCAGGTACCAGCTGAACACTATTTCTCTAAATCTGAGAGATCCTCTTACGCTCTAAAATAAACCATAGAATCACAGAATTATTGATGTTGGAAAAGACATCTGAGATGACCCAGTCCAACCACCAGCCCATCTTCACCATGCCCACTGCAAACATCCCTCAGTGCCACATCCACATGGCTCTTGAACACCTGCAGGGATGGTGACTCCACCACCTCCCTGGGCAGCCTGTGCCAGTGCCACTGCCTCACTGCTTTTGCTGAGAAGAAATTTTTCCAAATATCCTAGCCCCTCCTTTGAAGTTTTTGTAGAGAGTGGTAAGGCTTTCCCTGAGCATTCTCTTCTCCAGACTAAACAATCACATTCCCATCAGCATGATCACCTTTCCACAGAGATGGAAAGAGATAGGGTACAGAACTTGGGGTCAAAGCCATCACCTTAATTCTACATTTTCTGTTTTTCCAGCTTTTGTGATTCACTTGTGTGACATGATCTAGCAATTGGCAATCTTGCCTGCTGCAGGGCGGTTGAAACTTGATGATCTTTGACATCTCTTCCAACCCCAACCATTCTATGATTGCTCTCTTCCCTCTCAAAACACATGGGAGCTGCACTGCTCAGTTTACAAACTTCTCATCTGGGAAATTTGAGTTTTTCTTCACGAGAGGGATGCAGCCCAGAGGCTGTGGTCTTGTGGCAAGCCCTTATTTCTTGTCAGGAAAGTATTTTTGGTTTCAGAAGTGTTCTTTGTGGCCATGCATAAATATTAGAATCACCATACAAATACCCTGAGTTTCCTGTGAGAAGTGTACTTTTTAGTCACCCTCTTGCTTAAACCAAAACTGCACCAAGGGCCAAACCTCAGGAGTCCTGGCCCAGCTGTTTTGCTAGACTCGAGCAAGCATCTGATTTCACCATTCTACACGACAACCCTGCCTTAATTTCCAGCAGTACTTTTGTAAAAGCAGACACAGAAGGACAGCAAAGGGAGATCTGCAGCAGCACTTAGAGCAGGGAGGATTCTCACAGGAGATGCTGGCATGCAGCCATGGCCTCCACATCTCCAACAAAACCCTTCTTGTTCTCTAGCCAGGTGTGCTTGATTGTGGTGCCAAGCTATTATCCTGCAGCTCCACTCACCAATCAGTGCTTTGAACAGGAGGGATCTTGTGGAGCTGAGCACAGCAGCTGTGATGAGATCAGCTGGCAGTTTGCTCTGCTTTTCCCCATTTTGCAAGCTTTCAATTTGCTTGACAAACTTAAAAGGGCAGCCCTGTGAATTAATCAACATTTTAAGCTGAGTCTGTGTGACGATTTCTCCAACCGTGTGTTGGGAGGGCGGTAGTTTGTAGGTTGATTTGGGCACGCCTGAGGTATTCTGAAAGATTTGTGTTTCCTTGGCTACATGCTCACTCAAAGGCTGGCGCAGGTAGCTGAGGGGAGGGCTGAAGAGCCTTCTCCCTTCCCTCTCTGCTTCAGCCTGTAGCATGCACATACACACCTGGTAGCTGTCAGCATTAGCTTTATATGCGGCCTTAACTGAAACTGAACGTAGCACCAGGAAGCAAACACAGACGTCAGTAACGTGTCCTTTTCCAGGAAGTTAACATCCCAGGAGGGATCTGCAGGTACAGAGAGCACCCCAGGACCCAGCACGTCCCTAAAGCAAGCAGACGTGGTTGTAATCTCACTCATAAACAAACAGTTCGCATTGCTGGCTGTGTGGGGCAGCTGCAGGCTCTGCTCCCAGCCCCTGCTCTTGACCCAAATCCAATTCTGTCTGCACCCACACCTTATGAAGAGGACAATATCGCCATAAATGCACGACAGCCAATGGCCTCCCAGCTGAAGCAGGAGCCAGGGAGAGGAGGAAACACAGAGAGCTGCGTTTCTCCCAGCACTTCCTCTGCCAGGCAACGCAGCTCTGCAGGATAGCAAGGATCGCCTCCCCTGGGTGCCTAAATGCGTTTTTCCACCCACTCTCTGTCACACACAAGCAGCACTCAGTGAGCCTCACCTTCCCTCCTGGAAGAAGCTTTCCCCAGGCCCAGCTGCCGCCTCTCCCTGCTCCGTGCAGTGGGGTGAGCGCCCGTGTGATCCCGTGATTGCGTGGCTGGGCTTTGGTGTGACATTGTCCCCACGGTAGATAAGGTGAGGGCTGCGTCTTCCCTCATGCCCGCCCCGATATGCATATTGTGGTGTTAATATTTAACCAGTCCTGCAGGAGGAAGCACGTAATGCTGATGACGGGCCGGAGGCAGTGAGTTACGTGCTGTCCTGACCTGAAAAGCTGGATTGGCAACGACACCTGATGTCCCAGCAGAGGGCTGCTGCCGTGCCATCTGTGCAGGTTGTAACAACATTTATTTATTGTATTCTGTAGCCATGAGATTGTGTGTTAGCATCGGAGCACACTCGTCTGTCGCAGCACTGCAGGCAACACAGTGGGGAGCAGACGCGGCCCAATAGGACTCCCATGGGCCTGGGAGAGCTGAGGTGCCCCACAGCAGCTGTGCTCTTGTTGATGTTCCCCAGAGCCAGGGGCAGAAAGGCCATCACAGCTCCTGAAGAACCAGTGTGAATCCAGGGGTTCTGGTCTGGGAGATGGGGCTGGTGGTACGGCAGATGACAGTGCCACGACATGGTGCCAAGAGGACTGGGCAAGAGGTTGGGCAAGGGACACTTATGAGACAGCCTGCAGCATTGCTAGGGTAGGGAATGATGGTCCCAGAAGCTGAGATGGGCACTTGGGCCATGAGGGGAATCCAGGCAATTGCTGAAGGAGGGTCAGGCCTGGTGCTACCCTCAGCACTGACAAAATGGGCCCCGTGCAAGTTTCATAGAACCACAGAATATCCTGAGTTGGAAGGCACCCATAAGGATCTCTGATTCTGAATTTTGTTTTTCTTTGCAGGATTAAATCACACTTTTTTCTGGCATATCCATTCTGAAATATTTTGTTTTCTTTGTGGGGTTATGTCAAACCTTTTTCTGAAACATGTATAGTCACTTATGGTCACCAAAGCTGCAGTGCAGTCTTATGAGAGATGCTCTTGCTATTACTACAGCTTTCTTTCCTCTGAGACCTTGACTGCATCCTCCAGGCCAGTAAGTTGAGCTGCTGTGACACATCAGGAAGTATTGCTAATGAGTCAATCTGCCAGAAAGCCTAAATCATAAAGAAGAGACATATGATTTTCCTGAACTATATATCCCACTAATCACAGTAACATTTCTAGTCAGTAAAAAATAATGCCAAACTGACAGAAGATTCAAATCAGCAAAGGGAAAGGAAACATTCTGTTTGGTGAGTTTTGATTGATTTCCAAAACTGCATTTCAGAAACTTTACTAAAAGTAATATCACCCTGACTAGTTAAAACAACAGCAAAACAATTAGACTTCCTATAATTTCCTAAGCAATTATATTTTTTCATTTTATTTCTTTGCTTTTCCATGTATCTCTTTTTTAAAAATCTGAAATGTCACACTCGTGTTCAGATGAGCATCTGAACACTTTCATCCCCACTTTCAAAACTGTACTCTTAGATAACTTCTATGAATATTTTGATTTCCATCCAAATAAAAATAGAGGAAGAAAAGAGAAAGCATCTAATAAGTGGATTCCATCCCAGGTCACCCAAGTGGAAAAAGCGGTTAAAATGGATTGACTGGTTTTTGGTTTGGATTAATATCTCACTCCAATTTATAGGAGAGAGATGAGGTTCTTTTAATATCTGTATACCCAGCGTGAGATTAAGAAACAACGGTTCAAATGTTGGTCCGACCAGTTTATTACAAATCTTAATCAGGGAGATGGGGAAGGGGAGGACGGACACTATTATGAATTAGGGTAATGGGGAAGGGAAGGAGGCCAATAGAAAAGATAGAAAAGAAGAAGCAAGGAGTCCTTATAGGAAGCAAGAGGGATATAGTCACCACCATGGATCCAGCGAGGTTCCTAGTTCCATCTTTGATCTTCAGTAGTGGTGGGTCGTCGGGCATTGTTGTTCTATTGACAACAACAACGACCATGGCGATGATGGCCCCTTTTCAATGCTTTCAAAGTGGTCGAGTTAGCTCTCCTTTGAGTGGCAGCTTCTGGCTCTGGGATCTCAGCAGAAACTCCTTTGTTCCCATCTTCCGGGCCTTGCCAGCAGATAAGAGGGAGCAGGGGTGCCCATCTGCGTCCTGTTTCTCACAGAACACGATGGTATCGTTCCCCAATTTTCCCACACCTAGCTGGAGCGGTTTAGTCACAGGCCAGATCTTCCACCAGTGAACACTCCTGAGCACTCTCTTCCAGTCTTCTACAGAGCAAGCAGCTCTGGAGGAAGGGGCTTCCAAATGTTCCCAAAGCGATATCGATTGTCACATGGTTAGCACCCATCACTTGCCTCCTCAACAAATCACTCAGAGTCTTATCACAAGAAATACCTCAGAAAGCAAGCTTTGAGCCAAAAAACAAAGAAGGATTCTCACAATTAATAAAGATAATTCTTGGTAAAAAGCTTCAGAAAGAATAATAGCTGCATTTAGAACTTGTACAAAACCACTATTTGGCACTACAGAGAAGAGATAGGCTTTGTCATCTTTGTAATTGCTCTTTGGGTAGATTTAAGCTGCTAATAGATCACCCATTAGCCTCTTCTGTACCAGACTAAAGCCCGCTCTCTTAGCATCTCCTCACAAGTGCTGTACTCTAGAGCCTTGGCCACTTGATCTCCTGCCCCTGGACCCTGTGTAGGTTCTCCACAACCTACTTGAACTGAGGGGCACAAAACCACACAGAGGTTTCCAGATGTGCATAGTAGAGGAGCATAACAGTTTATTTGAACGTGCTGGAAACTCATCTCTAAACATGATCTAGTACATGGTTTGCCATATTTGCAATGAGAGGGTATTGTTGGCTTGTATTCACCCTGGTATTCAGTTCCCTTAGGTCTCCAGCAAGTTTCCTACCCACTGTCACTTAGGTGATATAACTGCAGCCTATACCTCTAACCTATATAGGGTTGTTGCAGATTTTGGTGCTTCATCACTTTGGATTTCAAGATGTTTTTGTCTTGTCTCAATCCTCAAGCTTATTAAGGTCCCTCAGATGGCATGTTGCTACATCTGTGCTGCAACTTCTGCCGCAACATTTAATCACAGGCTGATCAGCTGTCTCATTACCACACTGCAATCTGTGATATTCTGTAGATTGGCCATATCCTTAAGCATGTACATATATAAAGATGCATACAACACCCATTATGATTTTCACAAACTAGTAAAAACATCGAAAGAGGTAGAAATTTGGCAAATAAGTGATTTCAAAAACCTAAGTGGTCCTGAGGTCTATAAACGGCAATAGATACTCGTCACTGCATTAGCTATATCCAACATAGGGTCCTTAGAATCCCCTTTCTAACACTGAAGTGCTCTGCAGGACTAAAGATGGTTTGACACTGATGTTTTTTTTGAGAGACAACAAGGCTGTGAACCTCAGAAAAGCACTACATCATCCCTAAGTCTTGGAAGGAATTTTCAAACATAGCATTTTTCCCATGTCCTTTTCTTAATTGGAGAGCTTCTAACTGATTTGGCCTCAAAAAACAGACCAAAAGGAGCAAATTGTGTTTTGCTGCACTCTGGCTCATTTTTCACAGGAGATGAACATTGATTCCCAGTTTATGAATGCTTTAAATGTTAGTACCTACCAGACGATGTGTCTGAGCACCTAAAATTGCGCAGTTACACTGGCGCCAAGCAGATGCTTGAGCATACATCTCCATTGAGGTCTATCATTCTCAAACCAGGCAGACTGTTGGAGGCAACACATATAAATCTGTATTCTTACACAGAATCTGAGTTGATCTGAACTTATATGAGCATCAGTGCCACTAGGACCCACACAGAGGAGGTGGCAGTCATTTTGGAAGAGATGGAGTACAGGGAGTGAAAGAAACAGCCTTTGAAGGTCTTGGAGCATTGCGAGGTTTCTCAAAACAGGGTCAGCTGCCACATGCTGGGTACAGTGCTGGTTTGGGAGGAGGTTTTTGCATCCAAAGGCCCAGCTGATGCTCCTCCTTGGTGAGGAGCTCACCTGGAAGGTCGGGATTCTGAGTCTGAAGTTCCTCAGGTTAAAGTGGTCTTAAAATTCACATTTCCCACCTTATGAGAAACTAACCTGACTACAACTGCCCAGAATAGACTAGGAGAACACTCAAGGCAAGCAGCATCCCAGGTTCACAGTTTCACTAGGTCACCTCTACCTATACAAGAGATAAGGCTCCTTATAAAGTATTCCGTTCAGCACATTACTGCTTTTGCTGTTTCCTCATGTAGCATGCTGGCCCCAATTGCAGGCATTTCTTCCCCGCCTCCTCAGTGCAAAGAATACTAGTTGAAGCCCACAGTAGTGGCCTAAAGCACCCACAATGTGCATGTCTCATTCTGGATTGGACACAAGTGGGAGTTGTCAGGGAAGCACCTGTCACCTCTACCCACACACTGCTGGCTTGGACTTATCAGCTGCAATCCTCTTGGGTGCATCTGCTACACAGTGACTGGATTCAAATGTCCTTTGTTTTCCCCAGGGCTGCTTAGGCAGCCAACACATGTATTAATATTTTATTATTTATTTCTCACTGACCTTGTTAGTTCTTTTTTCACTTTGATTTTTCTAATGAACCATAGAATCGTGATGCAGTCATTGGCATTGGTTAGGATGTGTGTGGGATAAGACATAACACAGCATGGTAAAAGGTACAAAACCCCAGCCACTGAGAACAGTGTGCATGTACAAGACTACCCATGCTCATGAATATTTGAAGGATCACGTCCTAAGTTTGCTAGCCTGTTGCAAATGGAAAATCATTTTGTGAATCATCAGCCTGTGTACCATGCAGATTCCTACCTCCCACTCTAGTTTCTCTAGACACTTCTTTCCAATTCTCCCTTTGAGTGGGAGGATTTTTGCCCATTTTCTTCCAACTCTTCCAAAGTCATTTTGTACACCATGTCATTTCTTTTGCAGCTACTCAAATGTGTAAGCTGCTGGAGCAATCCTCCAAAATTTTTTGTTCTCAGTTGCATTAGTCTGAAACATATGTCTACACAACCTGCTGTGCCAACCCACACTTTGAGCAAAATGGACTTTTAAAGTGTTGCTTACTGAAGGCTTCTGTCATTGTCACTGTGGCCATAAGCACTTTTTTTATTCCTCACAGGAGAATTGAACAAATTGCGATGATGGAAACTGAAAAGCATTTAGACACCTTCATTTGTGAGTACTTTTAACAAACAAGAATGCTGCAGAAGAAATCACCAGTCCATGCACTTCCAGGCTGTACTTTAGCTTACTTAGTTGAGTCAAAGAAAGTATGATCAGAAGCATTGAAATAAGGAAGAAGCACTTAGAGATACAACACCAAAGCTAATTTGAGATCAGTGCTAGAAACGAGAATAAAATTCTTCATTTTCCCATGAAAATTGGCTTGAAAAGTGTTTTGAACATTAGAAAGATTCTTAGAAATAGCTGCACATCAAAAAACAAATGTTCTTTCCTCAAATGGAGAATAGTTTAAGAGCTGAAACCTTTAGAAAAGGCTGAGGTAGGAGACAAGCTGACCTACAGACTGAATTAGCTGCCTCTTACCTACATGAGTATGTGACCCTTCTCTTTAGTAGCATATCAGGCCAAGGAGATGCTAAGCTTGGCTGTTTTAAATCTGCCTCATTTTTGTTTCTTTCTCTACACTCTTACTCCTTTTCTCTACTGTTTTTCAAAATACTTGATTGTCTGAAAGGCATACTTCTCATTCACAACAGTTTTACATTAGTGTTAGCTATAGTGACCAAATTGAGGCTTTGATTCACTATTTTCCTTAATTGGAACCCAAATGCACTAGAGGAAAATCTCCAGAAGCAACAGGACCACATCATTTCCTCTATGTATTACTTATATGACTGTTGTTCTCCAGCACTTTCCTGCCAGGTCTCCTGAACTACTCCTTGCTTCCACTTCAGCAGGTGCATTCCTTCTCTCCAGTATTGAAATCTGTGATGAGTTGCAGTTGGTAAAATGAAAATGTCTTAAATTCAGGAAATGTTGAAACAGTTGAAAACACTCAGCATGGAATCCAGGCAACAATAAGTAAGTAAGCTATTCACAGAATGAAAGAAGATGCAGCTTTGGTGCTGATAAGAGGAGTGTAAATCTGAGAAGGAAATTTTTAGTGCACTCTAATAGATCAGTTCTCCTAGCAACATTTACTTCAGCTTTAGAAGTGCCTCGTCTCTGATCCAAATTGTTAGCTTAATTGCCCTGATTATCATTCAGCCTGTTCTAAGGAACTTTGTAATGCATGATAGCATGCCAAGAAAATGTAAGCATCATTTTGTACACTTACAATACTCACTGTTACATTTTTCATTATTGCTTTTCATTATTGCTTAGGGTCATGATTTCAGAATGCCTCCCTATGGAAAATCAGAGTCTTCAAGGAGATTAGGTAAAGTGCAGCTCTATCCAGAGCTGCCTTAGCCCTGGTGCTCTTGATACCTATCAATCAGTGACATGAAGCTTGAATGGTGCACAAACCTCTTCTGCAATACCCATGAACAAGTGCTTAGCCCAAGGCTACAAATCCCACAAGACATCCCACAATTAATGCCAGAAAAACTGCCAGGGGAGTATGAAGTTATACCCTTTCTCTTTCATTTCTGATGATTTTACAAGGTTGCCAGTTATAAGAAATGTTAACACTTACACTTCTGAAAATAGAATATTAATGAATATTCCCTAAGTGACCTACAGGCGTGATCCAAACTGACACTGTAATGATGAGAGAGTAGATTATCACCATAAAAGTCAGCACTGCACTGGAAGAGCTGTGTCTTGTTTGCATTTTCATGAAATACAGCCTTATGACTGACATCAAACTGCTCCCTTTAGGCAATCGGTTAAGATCACAAAGCAAAAAGGACGGACATTTTATTTTCTTTGAAATCATGTCTTTTATGTGCTGTACTTGTGATACAACATCTGACTGAAAGCTGTTCTTTTGCAGTAAGAGAACATAAATCCCTGGCAGAGATAGTTCCACACATTCAGCTTCTCTTTGTTTGTGTTCACTGCTATCTTTAGGATTTCTCTTACCTACAGTAAAATTTATTATGACATCAAACACCAATTCATATGCAAAATAAGATCCCCCAGAAGGTCAAGAAACCTGTGAGTGCTGAAAATCTTCAAGAATATTGAGAAGATTTACGTATTTTTAGGCTGAAATTTCCAATCTCTCTTCTCCCATACCCCATACACAATTTTCTTCAGCAAAGCTGAAGAAGGCAATACCACTCTGTTACAGTGGTCCCTGGCAGCAAACATCCTCCCCCTCAAGCTGTACCTTGTCGTGGTTTCATGGTTTTTCATCTGTATTCCACATCAGTGTTCCATTCCATGGCATAACTGCAAAGCATGCAGGCCTTGGCCTAAGAATAAGGGGACAAGACCTTCAAAATCACAGAATCATTTGAGTTGGAAGGGACCCTTAAATGCCATCTGGGCCAACTCCCCCGCAATGAACAGGGACACCTAGAGGCACATCAGGCTCAGAGCCCATCCAGCCTTGAGTGTCTCCAGGGATGGGGCTTCCATCACCTCTCTGGGCAGCCTGTGCCAGTATTTCACTATTGAGGGACCAGGAGAGCACAGCCTTTGGTGCCTTCACACATCCTCACCCCAGCACTAAGCTCTCCCCACCAGCACCAACTCCTTAGCTATCTCCTCGCCCCAGCAGGAGCAAGCTGCACTGCTCACATACACAGCAGCTCACTCCTACTCTTGCCTCCAGGCTCTGTTCGCTCTGTAATTCCCTCATTGCACCTCTGTTAACAGAAGCACATGTAAAGCCTTCAGGTCCCTTTACGCACCAGAGTCAAACATTTACTTACAATCACTGTTGCAGCAATAATGATTAAATTAAACATGAAGGGAATGTAGCTGCCTGGAAGATCTACAAGCTGGAGGTGTAAATCACACCACATAACTAATTTATGACATTCTGCGCCTACAGCTGTACACCGACATTTTGTAAGTGTAATGGTGGCTCTGATTCCTAAGTGCTTTTGGCAACAGAAGAATAGGAAGCTGATTACACGTGTCTCTCACCCTGCACCCAGAGCCATATATTAAACAAGGTCAGGATGGATCAGCAGCCAGATGCAAGAGATATCAGAAAATGGTTCAGTTGCAGAGATCCAGAGATGGGACTTGGATTTTTTTCCACATTAATGGACTCTTGAGTTTGTGAAACATGAGGCAAAAAGATCTCTCAACCAAAGAAACTGTCTAATTATATTTTCCAGAGAAAATATACTTGAACAAACTTTTTCTAAAGGATAGCCTTGCACTCCTATCTTATCAGACTTGGAAAAAAATATGTTTTCTCAGCCAGAATCTGTGCAAAATACAGGCCTGTTTTCTGGGGCTGGATGTCCTATGCCTTGCATATACATGTCTTTGTTATGGTTTTAATAATCGTGCACTTGACACTCTTGTCATTTTGAAAACAAAAATCCATTTTCAAATCATTGCTGGCTTATAAGGCTTTGTTTGCAGATGCCTTTGACTTAGAGGTGCACCCTGTGCAGATCGTTAATGACAAGACAGTTGTGTGGCACGACTGCATGCTTAATTCTTGGGAAAGTACTCCCATTCTCAGTCACTTTGTCATTCATAGGAGTTTTGTGCTTGCCTTAGGAAGAAGAACCAACAACTCCTACTTTAGGAAGTACAAAATAAGTATTTTAGGGGAGAAAATCCTTTGTGACTGAAAAAAGAACAAGCCTCCTAACTTAATTACATACCAAAATGATAATACATTCACAAAAAAAAAGTTAACACACAGATTTCTGGTAACAAAATAGTTTACTAAAATACCATACATTGGTTAGATCAACATTCTTAGGTTCTATGCAAATAATGCAAACATTATCACATGGTATTTTATTAACATTACCCAGTATCCTGGACACATCCAAGAAGGATAACGTCCTTGCCAGATCCATGATAGACAGTTAGCCCTTGTATCCCACTCAGCTTTTACTAAGGCAAATGTTTGATTGCAAAAGTCTTTCTCAAATTCTCAAAAAAAAGAAAGGGCAAATGCCTCCTCAGTAGTGCTGAATCAGGTATGTTTCATGGACACATTGGAAAATCCTAACCTAAGTTGAGATCAGGTTAACTGATGCTTAGAATTGCAAAAAATGTACTTATTTTTCTGTGTTCCAAAACTCATCTCGTGTTGGAAATATACTGTATGTATGCTGAAACACACTTAACCTCTCTAAGACATTAACAGCTCCGTTGATTCCTGCAGTCCTTGTTACTCAGTGAGAAGTGCTGGAGTAACTTTTCAGAGTAACTTTCTAAATCTATTCATAAAAAAGTTAATTTAATGATCTTTCTTCCCAAGAAACAAAAATTCTAGATTTGTGCAGATAAACTGCTAACAATTTATCTCAGTTCTTGTATTAATCTATAAAAACCTAAAAAGAGATAAGTAGATGTACACTGCAGTATTTTGTTTGCTGTCTTAGTTATATTTCCAATCTTTCTCTGGTGGCCTTTCATAGAAAAATACACATAATTTGGCAAAAGACTACTAAAGAGTTTTGATTGTATTAAAAGCCATGATCCATGGCCTAAGCAGCAAAAGCTAGTTTCATTTAGCTGATACATATAAACTGACAAGCTCAGTGGCTGCATTTGAATAAACAGATAAATTTGCCTTATGTGCAACCAGTTAGTTTTCTTAAATCATCTTTTACAGCAGAATCATACTATACAATTAATTATTTATTTATTACATTCTTATTCGAAGTAACATACTGAATGGGAAGGATTATGAAATCAATTTCTAATTTATGTGAGCTAACAGAAAATCATATGTTGAGAAAATTAATGTGCAGCAACCTGAAGTGTCCACTTTGGAAACTAATTTGCAATGAGAATGGGAACAAGCTACCTAAATCCATCACATTTCATTCTATACTGATTTTCTCCTTATTGCAGACTTAGTAGTGGCAAGGGAAATGTTTCAGTTAGGCCATTAAATGTGTAACAACATATATTTGGAGGGGACAAAATATTACAAATGCAGTAATTTGTAGGCATCCTGCAGAGGTTTCATAGAAATTTCAAATATGCTCCCTGGAAACAACATCCAGAAAGGAGTGTTTTGTTTAAACACACCTGAGGACCTAACAACAAATGGTACAGTAACAATGAACTTAGCCCTGAAAATATAGGGATAGCTTCTGCAAATGCGATTAACACAGAGTAGCATCATCTTCCCTAATTAGTTAGCAACATTCCTGAACTAAAATAAAACCTGTAGACAAGAAAGCTAGCATAGCCTGCCGTCATAGGTAACATCTCTGCAATGATACAAGGCCACAATCTGTTCAAGTAAGATGTAAGATTTTAGTAAGATTTTAATGCTGCTCAACATCAGACATCCCACAAAGCGGTCTCCTAATGGGAGACTTTATCCTTTGGCCACAAGCTCAGCCTGACAGAAGACCAGCAGCAGCACCATCCCAGGAGCCATATGCCTCTTGAATCACAACACCAAGTGGAAGATAATAAGCAAACTCATCTGCCTAGCCAAAGGCTCTCTGGGATAGTTTGGTTGGACTGGTCCTGACAGCTGGTGCCAGGCACAGAGGTGGAAGTGAAGCACATGCTGCAGTGAACAGAAGGGATGAGAGATGCACAAGGGGCTCTAGGAGTATTTCTCTTGAGTACCAGAAGAGGCCAGGGTAAACATTAAGCTGCACTGTCTACTCTACAAGCCTGGGAACTGAGAGAGACATGAAAGCATTCATTTGTACTTAATACTTTTCCTTAAATTTGCCTTAGAATAACAGAATCATTAAGGTTGGGAAAGACCTCTAAGATCATCTAGTCCAACTATCTATCACTAGTATTGCCCACTAAACCATGTCCCTCAGTGCCACATCTTTACATTTCTTGAACACCTCCAGGGACAGTGACTTCGCTACCTCCCTGGGCAGCTTGTTCCAATGCCTCACCATTCCTTCTCTTTTTTCCTAATAACCAATCTGCACCTCCCCTGGCACAAGTTGAGGCCATTCACTGACCTCTAGGGATGGGACATCCACAGCTTCTCTGGACAGCCTGTTCCAGTGCCTCATCACACTCTTAGCAAGTAATTTCTTCCTTAAACCTATTATAAATCTCCCCTCTTTCGCATTAAAACTGTTATACCTTGTCCTATCACTACACTCCCTGATAAAGTGTCTATCCTCAGCTGCAGACCCTGTAGGCCCCCTTTAGGTACTGGAACACCACTATAAGGTTTCTCTGGAGCCTCCTCTTCTCCAGGTTGAACAAGCCCAGCTCCATCAACCTTACTTCAGAGAGGAACATCCTTGTGTCTCTGCCCTGGACCACCCAGCACAGCTCCATGTCCTTCTTATGCTGGGAGCCTCAGAACTGAATGCAGTAATTCCAGTAGTACAATAGCAAGCTTGCACCTTGGGTACAATAATGACAAACAATGAACAGCAAAGAAAAATGACATTTCTACAATTTACATGGAAATAATAATGACTTAAATGCTGCTGTTAGGCTTGTTCAGTCTAAGCCTTTGCACCTACTGAAGGCTGGAACAAAAGCAAGTGTGCTATAACAGGGTTTTAAGTCCAAGAGTAGATACACCTCCAAGCTGGAGGTGCTTTTGGTTCAACCTGGATGTATGTGCTAGGGGAAGGCAAACATCTCCTTTGCTACCTACCCAACCACCTGGTTAGCCATGTCCCTGCTGATACCATACATGTAGCTATTTTCTGAATGAGCAACTTAAAATAGAGCAGGTTATTCTTCTAAAAAAAAAAAAAAAAATTTTTTTTCATTATCAGCTGCCAAAAAACAGCGCATGACTTTCATTTACTTTATGTCAGAAAAAAATGCACTCTCAACATCTATCAGGATGGGGCTTGTTCCTGCTGAAAATATTCATCCTGCTCTTCAGGCACAGGGAAGTGAAAAAGGACACTTACACAACTGTCACTAAGATAAATAAAAAGAACAGAAATAAGAAAAATAAACAAAACCAAACTAACAGAATGTTGTATCACAATAATCCTAATTCAGAAATTCTATTAGGAAATATGTCATGGAAACCCTGAAAGACCAAAACATCTAATCACTCCTTGCTGTTTTTGTTGCTGGATCTTTCCATATGACTTCCTCAGAAAGTCTCAGGAAGGCTGACAGTACTTGCTTTTTCACCCATCCTAATTACCCATTAGTCCCCTAACTTTACTTGAGCCAGTGTCTCACCTCTCTTTCTGAGCATTAGTTTTCCCTAATATTCAACCTGAACACCCCCCATGCAACTTGAGGCCATTCTCTCTCATCCTATCATAGTTACTAACTAGGAAAAGAGGCTAACCTCTCCACAGCCTCCTTCCAGGTTGTCGTAGGGAGTGATAAAGTGTCCCCTGAGCCTTCTCTTCTCAATACTGAATAATCTCAGTTCCCTCAGTTGCTCCTCATAAGACTTGTATTCCAACTTCACATTTTTACTACTTCTTTGATAGCAAAACTGATCTTTGTGTGCAATTCAATGAAATAGGAGTACTGCATAAGGCATGATTTTATGAACTCCTTATTCCCTTCCCAGAACCCAAATGTATTTTCCACCATATCTGCTGTAAGGGTTCAACTCCTTATTTATGAAACCTTAAAATATCCTAAAGATGTTCTGAGTTTTTCTTGCTAATCATGCATGGCTGTTTATCTCCCTACAGTAAGGGATATTCTGTGATGTACAGGTGACAGAGCGTTGGCACAGGTTGCCCAGAGAGGCTGTGGAGTCTCCTTCTTGGAGAGCTTCAGAAGCTGCCTAGCACCTGTATAATCAATGAATATTTGGATGTTATAACTATGAAATAAACAAAGAGAGCTTAGCAAAGCAGATTAGCAGATTATGATAACAAAAGGAGAATAAATAGAAAGCTTACCCCTATCCTAGGCTCACTTACAAAACTTCAGCAGAGCAGATCTCCAGAAGAGATCCTTCCCCACTGGTAACCAGCTCTTGAATGGGTCTAGGAGAGGTGCAGCCAGGCTTCACCCCTTCCGGCAGCACAGGTGAAGGCAATTCACCTGTGCTCCTCCAGCTGACTCAGTGCTCGTCTCAGGTGATCAATCAGAGGTTCAGGCCGTGACTCAGTAGTTCCCATACAGCACCCAACCCTGAAAGTCCCTGCTGAAGCTAGGGTTGGGCCAGATGACCTCTAGAGTTCACTGCCAGCCTCAGTCTGTGGTTGATTCTGTGATATAGATCCAGCTCTATCACACAATCATTTCCATTGGCAGGCACGCATAAGGAAATAACGCAGTAGTCTTACACATTAATAAAGTGACTTCCTATACCTAAAGTTGTCCCAAAAGTTCTTCATGGGCAAATTCTTCCACTTCAGAAAGAAAATCTGTGTAGGCTGAATGGGATATCTCTGCCACTACACAGTTCTGCAAGTGCATGGCTACAGTACCCTATGCCAGGAGGGGAACATCTTGACAGCTACAAGCAACTTTTCTTAAATGCCTGTCCAGATGGAAACACATGCAGTAATCTCTTAAGAGAGATCAGAAAGAGGGTGCAATTATTTTCTCTAAATGAAAGTACCTTGTTTTTTGTTTGTTTTTGCACCGCAGAAATACTCCCTGTCCAGTAGCAGCATGATTTTGAGAGCTAGTCCATGGAGAAGGCACCTTTGTGGCCCCCCTGTCTTCCAGAAAAAGGAAAAAAAAAAAAAAAAAAAGAAATTGCTTATGTAAAGAAGGGATGGAAAGAGGTAGAAAGGAATGGGAGAGAAAGATGTTACAATGCTCTGAGGCAGAAATGGGGACTAAAACCGTAAGAAATGTCTTCGACGTAATGGATCTAGAATTAATTGTGAGTTTTGCTGGGGCCCTGTAAATTCAAAGCATTTCAGTTTGTTAATTCAATCAGGGAAGGTGCTAGAGCACTCTCGCATGTTCTTCTGTCACTAAATGATTCCAGTAGCTCTGCTGCTCGGATAAGCTTACTTCATGGCAAGTCACGATTTTCTTAAAACGAGAAACAGAGAACGGAATCTTTTCTGGAAAAAATGTCTGTTCTGAATGAAGCTCCTCAGGCTGAATTTTTAATTTGTCAAGGCACAGTCCTACGAACACATCCTCCAGTTTGATGAATGAAATGCTCTCTGAAACATGATAGATCTGACTAGCAACATCGGTGGATAAAACATAGCCAGTCCCTGAACAAAATGGTGGGTAGGTGTTACCCGAGTATTCTTCTATCCTCACATTCCACTTGCTCTTTTTTTTCCTTATGGGTTTCTCATGCAGTTTCACAAAGCCTGTGTAAAGCCCTGTTTTCCTCTTTTTCTTTAGAAGCAGCTCAGTGAGGTAAAAAACATTGACAAACACATCTGTGTCAGTTTTCATCACAAAGCTGGACTGGTTACAAAACTGGTGAACCCATTCAATTCCCATCATGGTCTTTAAAGTCAAATTGTAGTATGTGTCCATAAAATCCTTTTGAATAATGTCTTTGTATTTTTGGCTTTCAGCACTGATGTCAGCCTGCTGCCTAAGATTCACAGGGGTTCCCAAGAGGAAATATGTCACTAGATGCTTGCCAGCCACCGTTCTCTCCTTCCCCCAGGTTTGCCGGATGACCATCCTGGCATCGATGTCTTGACATGAGGATGCCACAAGTAGTACAAGGAAAGGTGGGTCCTTACGGCAGTCTATATCTGGGAGCTGCAAGAAGTTTTCTTCAATTTTCCGAAATGTTTGTAGTGTACAATTTTGTTTTTTGCCATAGAATACAGACAGTCCGGTCAAATTCATGTAAAAATAATATAAGCTGCCACAGCTGAGCCCCACAAGGCAAACAAGCACCTTGATTTTTCTGAAATCCATCTGAAATAAACAAGAAAGAATGGTATATTTTAAAAAATCTTGTTCCTTTCAGTGCTGCATACAAAATTCACTGCGTAGGGTTTTAAAGCTAGGTCATCCCTTTTGAAAGCTACCTGTCTCAGGGCATTTGCCCAAACACATTTTTCTGAGGATAGTTCCTACAAGACATGCTGCTGGCAGCCAAATTCTCACTTGTTCTTCCTTGAGCCTGCCCCCAAGACAGTATATCCTCAATTACTAACACAAGAGGGCTCACTGATACCAGGTCACCCTGGCTGATGCTTCACACTTCCTTATTACTTTCAGCATAGAATCATGGGATCACCAAGATTGGAGAAGACCTCCAAGATCATCCACTCCAACCACCCACCTACCATCAACATTTCCCCACTAAGCATGTTACCTAGCATGCCTTTGACCCATCAGCAGTGACACGCATGCCAGGTGAGAGAAAATAACAGTAATACAAGTTTTAAATACCATATTTCTCCATTTATTTGAAAAATGTCTGGGTCCTGAAGACAGCAAGCCTTGGCCAATTAACAGGCATAACCAACCAGGTTCCTCCAGTCTTCATCTATCGTGCTGGTCTCTTGCACAGATCCAGAAGTCGCTCCTGATCTTGCTGCTGGAGGGGCTATGAGCGGTATGTTTGACATTGGGCCAGCTGCTTGGAAAAAGAAGACAAAGCAGTGGGTCAGGTTACTGGGACATTTCTCTTTTTGCAGACTGTAAGTGACTCACTAAGGCATATTGACATGAAAAGGGAGTGGTCTGCACTTCTCTGTCTTTTAGAGGAAGGAGACCCGAAGAATAACAGCTCATTCATCTTTGTAACATATCAATGTGCTGCATACATGGTTGCAAGCCTAGTACAAATTGTAAGAGAGAGAAAAATAATGAAAGTAAAGCCAAACAGATCACAGTGCCAAAAAGAATTACATGCCTCCATAAATGAACTGAGAAAATTCCAATGGTTGAGTAACTAAGTACATGACCAAATGGCTCACCAGCTCCTCTTTCAGAGAACTAGAGTGAGAGAATTTTTACTGGGAGGAAAGCATTCCATTCCTCTTCTCCCACTTTATAACAGCAAATTTTATAATTTTATTTGGTTTCCCATAAAACAAAAAAACAAAAAAACAAAAATAAAAAAAAAAAGAAAACAAATGGAGCTGGGAAGCCTCAGAGTTGTAGATTTCATGAAAATCTGATCTCTGTCTTCTGACCAGGAATGTTCTGCCTGGACTCCCCAAGCCACACCAGTGCTTTCCTCTCAAATGCAGACAGAGGCCTCCAACTTCTTTCCTTTTTACTCAATGAATAGGTTATGTGTTAAAGACTTAAATGCATTTTAACATTCAGACAGTAAGTTCAACTCTACTTATCAATAGGAATGATCCCAGTAATTTTGATAAGTACCCACAAAAACAAGATGAGTAGAATTGGAGTCCTAATTTGCTGAAATTCCTTCCACAGTGAAATGTATGTTTTTTTAAAGATTCAATAAGCATTTTTGAAAATACCTACCAAATTCATGTTTCTTCTGATATTTGCATTTAAATTATCTTTACATTGAATACTTCTCAGATCTGTATTTTTTCAACTATGCATAGCATACAGTAGTCTTACGATCATCTCAGTAACTGTTTTAAATAAATATACATGTAAGTTTGCATGAGAGTTTAGCTATAATAAAAAAACATGCACATATAAACACATTTCTACATATGATGTTCTAAGAACAAGGAAACAACCCATCTTGTTCAAAATGGGTTAGCTCCTGTTACCAGCTTTCATGATGCTGCTCAAGGATCTGCCATTGCTCCGTAGCAAGACTCCCAGCATATGTACATCCAGAAGCCCTTCACACAAGCCATTCCCTTAATGGACGCCCATTGAAATTTCTTCAGAAATACTCCAACCCCTCTGCTAAAGCAGGTTCCCGACAGCAAGTCACTCAGGAAAGCATCCAGATGCGTCCTGAACACTTCCAGAGAAGGAGAATCCCCAACTTCTCTGAGCATGTTCTTCCAGTGCTCTGTCACCCTCACAGTAAAGAAGTTCTTCCTCGTGTATGTATGGAACTTCCTGTGTTGCAGTTTTTCCCACTGTCCCTGTCCTGCACATCACCGAATTCATAGAATGGCTTAGGTTGGAAGGAACCTCAAAGCTCACCCAGCCCCAAGCCCTGCTATGAGCAGGGCTGTCCCCCACCAGCTCAGGCTGACCAGGGCCCCATCCAACCTAGGGTGGATGGGATGCTCTTCCTCCTGTATTTACTAGGAAAATTGCTATTCTATAAAGAAGGGTTGGCGAACAACTGCTTCTGTCATGTTTAACTAGCAAAACATGTCCATGACTGCATTTTGCAGAACCATCACCATCCAGTCTAAAGCATCTTGTTCTACAGCACAGGTTAGGTGTGACAAGGGCTACAGTTTCTAAATTATCTGATTTTCCCTGTATTTTTTCTCCTTGGTCTGCATCTAACAAATAGTACAGCCTATGATTCAAGATTTCCAGCTTCTACAGACTTATCTTCATGGAAGAGTCCTGGAGATGTTACAGTCTACAGAAGGTGGTCTAGAAAACAGTGTAGACTTAATAGTAATCAACCTCTTTTCTCTTGATTATTTTGAAGAGCACCCACTATTATAGCATCAAAACCTCTTAAGTTTTATAGAAAATCCTTTGGCAGAACACTTGCCCTGGTTTTGTCTGAGTTAATATTCTTCCCCTAGTAGGGGCTGGCTAGGTATCTGTCAGCAGGTGGTGAGCAACTGCATTATACATCACTTTATTTTGTTTGCTTTCATATTTTTTATTATTACTATTTTCCCATCCTTCTTTGTCCTATTAAACTGTCTTTATCTCAACCCATGATTTCTACCTGACTCATGGATAGTGACAGATGCCCTCTGGGGGTGGTAACAGCAATGGAAGCAAAAGAACTGGCAGCACAGAGGCAAACCCATCTAGGCCACTGCAGTGTGGAAAGACATTGCTGTCTGGGTAGAGAATGTAGTTGTAAAAGTAAATCCCATGGATGCCCATGTACCACAAAGCTGAGCCACTGAGGAAAATCAAGACAACCAGCAGGTGGATTGAGCCACTAGGATTGAAGGTAAATCTGGACTGGCAACATAATAATTTCCAGTTCAGTGGGCCCATGAAACCTCAGGCCATCAAGAAAGGCCATCAACATATAGATGGGCTCAGGACTGAGGGATGGACTTGACTGTGGACACTATTGCACAGGTTATCCAACAATGTAAAATATGTGCTGTGATTAATCAAGCCAAGAAGATAAAGTCTCTTTGGCACAGAGGACGGCAGCTGAAATATAAATATGGGGCAACCTAGCAGGTGGGTTACACCACACTCCCACAAATTCACCATGGCAAACACAATGTGCTTGCAATGGTGAAAGCCACCAAACAGTTGGAAACAGATCCCATGCCCCATGCCACTGCCCGAATACTATCCTGGGCCTTGAAAAGCAAGGCCTGTGGTGGCACGGCACCCCAGAAAGAACTCAGTCAAACAATGAGACTCATTTCCAAAACAACCTCATAAAAACCTGGGTAAGACTACACTAAGAGCAATGGGTGCTGGGACATTCAAGCACTGGGTTACACATTTACCAAAAAACTATCTGGTTAGATAACACTTAAGAATCTGTCAGTAGAGCTGACCCTGCCCAATTAAAATATCTACATACTGCAGAAGAGAAAAAATCCCAGTGGTACATGTGGAAGACGTGCTGGGCAAGACAGTCTGGATTATTCCTGCCTCAGGCAAAGGCAAGCCCATTTGTGAGATTGCTTTTTCTCAAGGACATAGGTGTATTTGATGAGTAATGCAAAAGGATGGTGAAGTCCAGTGTGTACCTCAAAGAAATTTGATGATGGGTGAAAACAGCCAATAATTTGAATTATATAATGCCAACTGCTATACAGTACTGTATATCATCACTTCTTGGGTTGTTATATGCCTCATCAACAAGAATCACCCAAATTAATGAAAAAAACAATTTTTATGTAACCAATCAAAGAACTGTGGTAATGGGAACCAGAACTGGCTTCAGCATGCAACAATCCAACATCACACACCACATCTCCTGCCCAGAAGGACCATGGTAATGGAGGGAGCCCAAAGTTATAGACTAAATAAACTGTATGGACATTTTAGAGAGATAGCCCATAGACTAAGGGAATGATAATGGGAAAGTGTGGGATCTGATCATGACATAGATGGCATGGATACTGAAATGGTCTTGGCTGGGAGAGTTAATTTTCTTCCTAGTAGCAGTATGATGCTGTGTTTTGGATTTAGGATGAGAACAAAGGTGATAACCCACCACTGTTGTAGTTGTTGCTGAGCAGCGCCTACACAGAGCCAAGGGCATTTCAGCTCCTCACGCTGCCCTACCAACAAGGAGCTGAAGGTGCCCAAGGAGCTGGAATGGGACAGAACAAGGACAACTGACCTAAACTGACAGAAGGGATGTCATGCTGAACAATAAAAGTGGGGGTTAGGTGTGGGGAGGAGGTACTGCCTGGGGACTGGCTGGGTATCTGTCAGTAGGTAGCGAGCAATTGCACTGTGCATCACTCATCTTTAATATTCTTTTATCATCATCATCATCATCATCATTATTATTTTCCTTCTCAGTCCTATTAAACTGTCATTATCTCAACTACAAATTTTATGTTTTTGCTGATTCTCTCCTCTATCCTACTGTGAGTGGAGTGAGCGAATGGCTGTGTGGTGCTGAGCTGCCCGCCGGGTTAAATCACAACACAGGTCTGAGTTTTCTCTTTGATTTGAGTCAGAAATTGCAGTTTATAATTATCTCAAAGCTTTTTCTATTTCCCGTCACTTCAACTGCCAAGTATTTTATGTAGGGCACTGCAGAAAAATTACCTGTTTCATATCCTAGAGAGTGGTTTGTTTAACGTGCCCAGCAGAGTGTGTTAAGGCTCTGTGTAGATCCAACGGAGTTTGTACTAAAGCCTGAGACCAGAGCAATGGGAGTCACAGCAGCCTGCAGTTGTGCTGTCTCTTGACACATGCCTAAAATGAACAAGGAAGAAAAGAAGAAGACAACTGTACTGGAACTGCTGGGTCACAGTCTGAACCTGATTGACCATCTGAGGCAAGCACTGAGTCAACTGCAGGAGCACAGGTGAAGGCAATTCAACTGTGTGACCGGAAGGGGAGGAGCCTGGCTCTACCTCTCCTAGATCCCATTTAGGGGCTGACAGCCACTAAGGAAGGATCTCTCTCTCTAGAGATTCCTTCTTGGGGAGTTGTTTGCAAGCCTACAACACTGGTGAGTACTTTCCACTTATCTTTGATTATCTTCTCCAACGTGATAATCTTACTAAGCCTAATTGCTCTGTATACTTACTGATCATCAAATACTTTACAACATCTGTATACTTATTGATCTTACAATAATATAGGTCTGAATCACATTAGACAAACCACAGTCCTCATAGGCTGAAGGATCAGCCCTTTGTTGGAGCACCAGGAGCCACTTCTTGTCAGAGTGATCTAGAAAGCAGCAAAAGGAAAACTTTGAGCTTGCCAGAACTCACCAAGATAACCTCCTTAAATTTCATTCCTTTCAGCAAACAAGGAGAATGAGAGAATTTATTTGCCATCTTTGCTGTGCCAGGAGGCCTCCCAAGCACCATGACAGTTTGCCATGGTGGGCAAATTTGCTAGAGACTCTGCTTACAACACTGACCTTTGTTAAACTTCTTCATGTTGCACTGTGAATGGGTCACGTTAACTCATCTGACTGAGCCTAGTTATTCCATCAAAGTTAATAACACCTCCTTCAGATCTGTTAATGAGTATAATTATTTAAACAGCACCAAGAGATCAAGGTTACACAGCATATGGATCAGGAAAAGCAATATGGCCTGCAGCAGAGAAGGTAAGTAGGTCTAGAGTCCCCACGAGAAAAAGATTCAAAACAAAAATTTAAAGAAATAAAGTTTGCTTAATTTTTCTGGGTCGAAGTTACAGTCACACTGCTGAGTTTGGTGAATGATGAAGTGTTAGATTCTCATTCATGTCGCACATGTTGAACAGTGAAGGACCCAAAGCACAACGTGCCCAAAGCACATCTGGCTATCAGCAGGAGTTGCCACTTTGTACAAGAGAGAGGCGAGCAGTTGCTATCACCACTTGCACACCCAAAAGCACGGGTGTGATTTAAACATGCAAAGAGGAGTAGGAGCCTCAGGCACCGCAAAGCTAAAGACAGCAGAGCTATTTCAAACTGCCTTTCTTAAGAGCCAAAAGTAGTATGTGCCCTGGCGTAACCACTACTAATACTTGTTAATTTTTTATTTCCCCTGGAACAAAGCCTTTAAACTGCATTCACAGAAGCTTGGCAGGACACAGGAGAGGGACTGAATATACTTAGATAATTTAACATATCAGAAAATAATGCTCCTAAACACAAGCATTTTAGGAGAGCAGGGATCACCTTCAATCTATCAAAGGTGAAAACTGGGAAAACAGAGGGCTCAGCAGTAGCTGGGCCAACGCTGCTAGGGAAGGAAAAATTGTCCCCTTGCTGGGCAGCCAGGTTTCTTTCTTTGATCATTGTCATCTAGCCCAACTGACTTCTGTTCAAAATGAAACATCATCCTCGGACACCTGGCCATACCATGCTCCCTTGAAGTGCTGGCTGAGTCCTGCCTCTTTGCTTGGTGCCCACATACACAGGGCCACCCATGATAGGTGAGTCAGGCCACGATGCCATCTCAACCACAGGAACTCAGTGTGGATAGCAGCCAAGGTGGTGGGGCTAAATGTCATCTTCACAGCGCTTTAGAACGTCTCTTTTCAACTCAGAGAATACCATGCACAGCAGCATGTATTAACAACGTCCTCATCCAAAGTGAATGTCAAGACTGGAAGGCAAGGAGGATGGGAAACTGAATAA